AGGATGTTACGGAACTAGACTATGACGCACCACACACACCCCTTCAACCTCACCAATTCAAACAGGCAACTGCACTCCTGTAGGGATAGCATAGGGAAAGCGTCTGTCTCTATGGGCAAGTCTCACGTGTGGAGATGTGGTGGACTAGCCGCTGCGGGTTACCCACGGAGTTAAGAGTTCGATGCTCGTTAAGACAGATGAGCTGCAGGCAGCTAGGGATGAGTAAGGGACAGCTGCAGTTGTTATGGTAAATAGCCATTTTAAGGGGGGACTGTTGTGGAAATAAAATATGAATATATACACATATAACTTTGTAGTTAGTAAAATGTCTATTTACCCGTTGCACTGAAATCAGTAGATAAGCTATTCACACATATTTAGACAAAATGGCTGCTAGAAGTTTCTAACCCCTCCCTCCTTATAACCTCGACTAACTACCTCGTTTAACAAGATGGCGCTGAGATCTGGGGGAGACCCTCATGGACTCAGTGACATCACCTCTAGTAGGCAGAGCACTAAGATAACTACTTAACACCTAACCAATTGATACCGTATTATTCCATGTTATCTCTGACAATGCTTATGATGTAATTTTGCTTTAAAAGGGACTTGCCGTCCCCTCTGAATAAACATTCCTCAAGTTATTCAACTACCTGAAACTTGTGTCTGGTGTGAATTACTTCAGGGAGCGTGCACGCATTGTTTCATTAATTTGGTCAGGGGCAGATACACAAAGAATAATCAATCGATTTGAGTTGATTTCCACTTCAGGAATAATTCCTGGCACTCTGTATAAACAGACCTTTGGCTGAATATTGTTATTTTATGAGCTGCAGTTAATCGGGTAAAGTTCATACAAGTCATCCAGAAATGACTGATTCTTGTCTTATTATCATAAATGTCTGATGAAACATAAGTGCAAAATCCAATATGTACAAAGATTAATCTTAAAAAAATGATGTTGCATTTGGATAAAAGTCACTAGAACGATTAGATTGTCGCTATAAGCATCATAATTTGCTGTTTTTTTTACAATTCACCAGGTTGCTAGGTCGCCATATTGTCCGCGTGTTGGTAGAAACGGCCTGTCTTGCTGCCATACCTGTATATTAAACGCTAAGATCAGAACTGGAATCAAGGAAGCACAATTAAAAATAAAATATTAAACATCCCCAGGTCTTGGAGTTAACTAGGCCTTAAAGCAGGACTTGGCACATTTCCATAGACTCCAGGAGCCAAAGCAATCATTTTAAATTTTCCCGCTTTTATTTTTATCTTGCATTTAGTCCAAGCACAGAAGAATAAGATTTGATGAATTGAGGCCCATTTCCTATCTCCCCTCCATTATCATTAGAACCATTAGAAAAGAGACAGTTCCCCTTTAATGTCTGAAAACTAAACACCAACAGACTGAGCTACATGTTATACCATGTATTCCTGGCATTGCTAACACTAGTCAATGAAACCTCAGTTAATGCTGACACAAATAGAAAATCAATGGGCTGGGGGGGGAGGAGGGGATACAAATAATTTATATAAATTATCTGTAAAATGGAAACATGAATGGAAGAATGACAGAACTGCTCTGTCAATGAATCATTCCAGCTCTGGAGAGATCGTAATGGCCTGTATAACTTGTAACGTGTCAGTGTGACAATTCTATCAGATGGACAGACGGACAGTGACTGCCATGGACCTCCGCAAATTGCCAAGGATTTCAAATTATTGGGCAAAATGGCTGAATTGTAAAAGGCTCCATTCCAGCTATTCCTAGGCCGCTTTGGCCTGAAATGTGAACATTCCTAATGAATTCTTGGCTATTCACAAATTAAGGGTTTATTCACCAAACAATGCGATGTCTAATAAGCGAGATGCCATAATGTGAATTGAATTCCCAAATCCAGGTATCATTTAATCTGTTACATGTGTTACATGACTACATGCTCGAATTCATCTGGCCCACCAATATATAAAAGGGACAACATATAAGGCATTTAAAGAACCAGTTCCCTTCAGTATATGAGACTTTAAACGCAAACTGCTCCTAATTCAGCAGAGAAGTTGCACATTTAAATACAGAATCTGACTAGTCGTGATAAGTGTTGTATTCCGTAACAAATGAGGAGTAGTCTTGCATTTAACCCTTTCAGTTCCTTGCATTACATGGCTGGCTGGCTGGCTCTCTTTCTGGGAGTTGTAGTGCACAATAGATTATTTAAAGTATCCCTTCCAACAATCATTAAACCTTTAGTAAAGCAAAGCATATTAACTCTTTAATTGCCAGCACACAAAGTACTACACGGGAGCAGTAAAACCCAGCAATGTTAATTAATAATATGAATAATATTTATACAATGAGAAGTGTCTGGGCTATTACATGTATGTGTAACAGTGAGTGATACATTCAGATTATATTATTAGGGGTTACATTAATAGCAGATTAGATGGCATGTAGCTGCCCTTAGAGGGTAGATTGCCTGTAGTCTCTGTAGTAAGGGTGCAGTCTCTGTATTAGAGGTGCAGACTCTGTATTAGAGGTGCAGTCTCTGTATTAGGGGTGCAGTGTCTGTATTAGAGGTGCAGTCTCTGTATTAAGGGTGCAGACTCTGTATTAGGGGTGCAGACTCTGTATTAAGGGTGCAGACTCTGCATTAGGGGTGCAGTCTCTGCATTAAGGGTGCAGTCTCTGCATTAGGGGTGCAGTCTCTGCATTAGGGGTGCAGACTCTGAATTAAGGGTGCAGTCTCTGTATTAGGGGTGCAGACTCTGTATTAGGGGTGCAGTGTCTGTAGTAAGGGTGCAGTCTCTGCATTAGGGGTGCAGTCTCTGTAGTAAGGGTGCAATCTCTGTATTAGAGGTGCAGACTCTGTATTAGGGGTGCAGTCTCTGTATTAGGGGTGCAGTGTCTGTATTAGGGTGCAGTCTCTGTATTAGGGGTGCATTAGGGGTGCAGTCTCTGTATTAGGGTGCAGACTCTGTATTAGGTGCAGTGTCAGTGTCTGTATTAAGGGTGCAGTGTCTGTAGTAAGGGTGCAGTCTCTGCATTAGGGGTGCAGTCTCAGGGTGCAGTCTCTGTATTAGGGTGCAGTCTCTGTAGTAAGGGTGCAGTCTCTGTATTAGGGGTGCAGTCTCTGTATTAGGGGTAGTGTCTGTATTAGGGGTGCAGACTCTGTATTAGGGGTGCAGTGTCTGTATTAGGGTGCAGACTCTGTATTAGGGGTGCAGACTCTGTATTAGGGGTGCAGTGTCTGTATTAAGGGTGCAGTCTCTGTATTAGGGGTGCAGTCTCTGTATTAAGGGTGCAGTCTCTGTATTAGGGGTGCAGTCTCTGTATTAAGGGTGCAGTCTCTGTATTAAGGGTGCAGACTCTGTATTAGGGGTGCAGTCTCTGTATTAAGGGTGCAGTCTCTGTATTAGGGGTGCAGTCTCTGTATTAGGGGTGCAGTCTCTGTATTAGGGGTGCAGTGTCTGTATTAGGGGTGCAGACTCTGTATTAGGGGTGCAGTGTCTGTATTAGGGGTGCAGACTCTGTATTAGGGGTGCAGTCTCTGTATTAGGGGTGCAGTGTCTGTATTAAGGGTGCAGTCTCTGTATTAGGGGTGCAGTCTCTGTATTAGGGGTGCAGACTCTGTATTAGGGGTGCAGTGTCTGTATTAAGGGTGCAGCCTCTGTAGTAAGGGTGCAGTCTCTGCATTAGGGGTGCAGTCTCTGTAGTAAGGGTGCAGTCTCTGTATTAGGGATGCAGTCTCTGTATTAGGGGTGCAGTCTCTGTATTAGGGGTGCAGTCTCTGTATTAGGGGTGCAGTCTCTGTATTAGGGGTGCAGTCTCTGTATTAAGGGTGCAGTCTCTGTATTAGGGGTGTAGTCTCTGTATTAGGGATGTAGTCTCTGTATTAGGGATGCAGTCTCTGTATTAAGGGTGCAGTCTCTGTATTAGGGGTGCAGTCTCTGTATTAAGGGTGCAGTGTCTGTATTAAGGGTGCAGTCTCTGTATTAGGGATGCAGTCTCTGTATTAGGGGTGCAGTGTCTGTATTAGAGGTGCAGACTCTGTATTAGGGATGCAGTCTCTGTATTAGGGGTGCAGTCTCTGTATTAAGGGTGCAGTCTCTGTATTAGGGGTGCAGTCTCTGTATTAGGGGTGCAGTCTCTGTGCAGTCTCTGTATTAGGGGTGCAGCCTCTGTAGTAAGGGTGCAGTCTCTGCATTAGGGGTGCAGTCTCTGTAGTAAGGGTGCAGTCTCTGTATTAGGGATGCAGTCTCTGTATTAGGGGTGCAGTCTCTGTATTAGGGGTGCAGTCTCTGTATTAGGGGTGCAGACTCTGTATTAGGGGTGCAGTCTCTGTATTAAGGGTGCAGTCTCTGTATTAGGGGGCAGTCTCTGTATTAGGGATGCAGTCTCTGTATTAGGGGTGCAGTCTCTGTATTAAGGGTGCATTATTAGGGGTGCAGTCTCTGTATTAGGGGTGCAGTCTCTGTATTAGGGGTGCAGTCTCTGTAGTAAGGGTGCAGTCTCTGTATTAAGGGTGCAGTCTCTGTATTAAGGGTGCAATCTCTGTATTAGGGGTGCAGTCTCTGTAGTAAGGGTGCAGTCTCTGTATTAGGGGTGCAGTGTCTGTAGTAAGGGTGCAGTCTCTGTATTAGGGGTGCAGTCTCTGTATTAGGGGTGCAGTCTCTGTAGTAAGGGTGCAGTCTCTGTATTAGGGGTGCAGTGTCTGTAGTAAGGGTGCAGTCTCTGTATTAGGGGTGCAGTGTCTGTATTAGAGGTGCAGTCTCTGTATTGGGGTGCAGACTCTGTATTAAGGGTGCAGTGTCTGTATTAAGGGTGCAGTCTCTGTATTAGAGGTGCAGACTGTATTAGGGGTGCAGTGTCTGTATTAAGGGTGCAGTCTCTGTATTAGGGGTGCAGTGTCTGTATTAGGGGTGCAGACTCTGTATTAGGGGTGCACAGCATGTCAGTACAGAGAGGGAGGCAGTACGCATGCGCAGTATTAGGCTGTTATTTCCAATGCTGACACTAGGTGAGTACCAGCTACATGTAATGACGCCTCTTCTCCATCCTTCATCAGCAACACATTACATCATCCACTGTCTGCACACAGCCCGGAGCATCAGCCCTATACACAGCAACATCAGCATCCACAGCCCTATACACAGCAACCACAGCATCAACAGCCCTATACACAGCATCAACAGCCCTATACAGAGCATCCACAGCATCAACAGCCCTATACAGAGCATCCACAGCATCAACAGCATTTCTACCCAGAACCCAGAGCAGCATCATCAGCCCTATACACAGCATCAGCAGCAATCCTATCCAGAGCATCAGCCTTATACACAGCATCAACCCTGCACCCCCATTTACCCCCTCTGACCCCCTGCACACCCTCTGACACCCTGCACACAAATTGGACCTACCTGATCCCCCACCCTGCACCCACCTTCCCAGCAGGAGCCCCGACCATGGCAGAGAGTGAAGCAGAGACCCCCAGCACCCCTGGGGAGTTTGAGAGCAAGTATTTTGAGTTCAATGGCATCAGGCTCCCCCCTTTCTGCAGGGGGAAGATGGAGGAGATCTCTAATTTCACAGTCAGGAAGAGTGATATCTGGATTGTCACATATCCCAAATCAGGTAATGTACAATGCTCATATAATAAATATGTGATGTATAGCTACTAAAACTCATGTAACAAATAAGAGAGCTCCTGTAATATATAATATAACTCCTGTAATATATAATATAACTCATGTAATATAGAGCTCCTGTAATATATAATATAACTCCTGTAATATATAATATAACTACTGTAATATAGAGCTCCTGGAATATATAACTCATGTAATATATAATATAACTCATGTAATATAGAGCTCCTATAATATTGAATATAACTCCTGTAATATAGAGCTCATGTAATATATAATATAACTCCTGTAATATATAACTCATGTAATATAGAGCTCATGTAATATATAACATTGCTCCTGTAATATATAACTCATGTAATATAGAGCTCCTGTAATATATAACAGTGCTCCTGTAATATAACATATGATCACTATATCCTATATACAGTGTGCTATACATTGTATTGCCATGTGTTACATTGTATATTTGCTTGTGTCAGGTGTGCTGCAGTGTTTTATGGACCCCCCTTGCATGCAGACCCCCTGCCCTGCTCCTCTCTCCATCCATCCTCATGTAAAGTTTAATTAGCTCCTATCTGAGCTGGGATTACTGGCTCACACTAATTGCATTATGGCAGATTGTAAACATAGGGATCAGGGTGTATGCATTACATAATCCTCCATCAAACTGGCTCCCCAGACAGTGACGTAATCTTCCATTAACCCTCTCACAGCTGGAGGGAGTCACAGCATATGGAACATGCATTGGCCATGTATGGTTATGGACCAGCAGCCACAGAGAGAGAGAGACCTGCCATTTACAAATAATGTATCTGGCTTCCAGTGGCCTCTGAATATCCCTTTTATTTAGTTATATGTAGAATGGAAATGTTTATTACATTGTTACATGATGTATTTATCACAGGTTCCAAATATCTCCCAGTGCTGCGCCTGGTATATTCTTAATTCACAGCAGTGATCTACAACCTGATGGCAGGATTATGAGTACAGGCCCTAAATCCTATCTAACTAGTGATTGCACCTTCCCTGGTTAAATACTCTGATTATTGTGACTATTGAAATGTAGAATACCTGTGGGGCTTTATATTATATCACGTTAAAGTGATTTGTATGTGATTTGAATAGTTGCGGGTGCTATATTGCTTTGAATTATAAAATCTATGGCAACTTATGGGAACAAAACTAAAAAACTAGCTGGGCAGATAACCGGTGAAGGAGGGGAAAGGGTTAACTAAGGGAAGGTACTGAAATTGGGTTTTATTCTGCAAAACATTTGACACCACAACAGCAGCGGTTGTTGAACTGCAAATCTCACGATGCAGCCATGCAGCCTTTGTTCAACCAAATGTTGGCCGAGGCTGATGGGAGTTGATACTTTACAAATGCTACTGAAGATGTACCTGTTTTGTTTTGTTGTGATTGGCTCAGGTATGGCCCCGCTATCTTTAAATCGTACTTTATTGTCATTATCAGTGATTATTAATGCGTGTTGCAATGTGTAGCTGTACCAGTATCAAAGCTGCTCTGGAAAAGCCAGGAATTTACCCGGGAAAGGATGAAATCTGAATTCTCCATTGCAAGGAGTAATCTGTGAATCATTAGCAATTTTAGCAGGATTTTGGAGAAACAGTATAGAGACATGATGCAGATACCTCCTCCAAGTTTGCAGTCACTGGTTGCAATAACGTAGTACTTGATAGCAGAAACTGAAACAAAGATTGTTGTACACCTGCAGTACAAGTTTGTTATGTTCTAAGCCTGGACTGTATGGTGATGGTTTATTCGGAAATCTTTAATAGAAATTTAAAATGAAACAGATCAAGTTAAATGGACACTATAATCACCAAAGCACCTTTAGCTTAATGAAGGGGTTTTGGTGTATAGATTATGTCTTTGCGGTCTTACTGCTCAAGTCTTTGCCATTTAGGACTTAAATAATGTTGTTTATACAGCCACAGTCACACCTCCCTGCATGTGACTTGCACAACCTTCCTAAACACTTCCTGTAAACAGTCATCTAATGTTTACACTTCCTTTATTGCAAATTCTGTTTAATTTAGAATTTCTTATCTCCTGCTCTGTTAATAGCTGTCTACACTGAGCAGGAGCCTCCTGTGTGTGATTAAAGTTCAATTTACAGAGCAGGAGATAAAAACGTTTAAAGTAAGTTACATCTGATTGAAAAATGAAACCATTTTTTTTATGCAGGTTGCGTTAGTCACAGCCAGGGGATTTGTGGCTAGAGCTGCATAAACAGAAACAAAAGTGATTTAACTCTTAAATGGCAGAGAATTGAGCAGTGAGACTGCAGGGGCATGATCTATACACCAAAACTGCTTCATTAAGCTAAAGTTGTTTTGGTGACTATACTGTCCCTTTAAAAAAGGTTAAAGGAAACCTATAGTGTAAAAAATACCAATCATTATTTCAGGACTATAGGTTCCTTTCTGTCCACCCCCTTTGCATCCAAAAATAAAAGTATAAAAGTGATTACTCACGTCCTATTCTAAAGTCGGGACTCCTCCCTTTACAGCCTCTAGTTCCACCTTCTGGGATGTTGGTATACGAGCTGATATCGCCAGTGATCCCCTCAAATCCGTTGCTTCCATTACAGAAGCAATGATTGGAACTATGCTGACGAACGCTGGTATAACAGCTACCCGTTCGTCTATTTTCTCCCGAACTGCCTGAGTGATTATAGCTCGCAGTTCGGGTGCTGAGTCAAACGATTCTCCATACGAATGACAGTCTCCCAAGTAGATTCACCCAGTAAAGTAGACAGTCACCCAAACAAAAACCATATTTTTCATAAAACTTAAAAAGCACCCCAAAACCCATAAAATCCCCACACATGCTATATCCCCTGATAGCCCTGATCTGGGTGACCAACATATCCAAAAATCACCCAGATCAGTTCAGGGGTTATGGAATTTTATGAAAGTCCAATTGTGACCGACCGCACACGAGGCTCCTGCCTAGAAATAGTTCCATGCATTTAGGTTGTGCGGTCGGTCTATTTCGACAAGTGTTTAAAATTAATAAATGCACGAACTGCACCCCCTGGTTCGTGGGAACAAAACTACCGAACAGCGCTCTTCTGTTCGGGAAAAGGAGGCAGGGATTCATACAGTTTGATCAGTGTTCGGGAAGTCGAGTGTCTGATTTTAGTTCCAGACACTCTACGACCAAGTCCTGCTGCCTCCTTTCGTGTGAACAAGATGGCTGCCGTTTTCTCCTGCACGTGGCGTTCGGCTATATGAACGGTGGCCCCACAGGGAGAGCACTTAATTGATTGTTCTCTTTGAAGATAACGAGCCAGGGGGGTGGTTAGTGTTCGGCACTTCCCCTTCCTGAGACACAGGCACAGCTACTGCAGAACACCAAGCGGCCAAACAGGAAATCATATGAATGCCGTAAACAGCCGAATAGGAAAAACCATACGAATAGGTTTACATTCCTAGCAGTCGAACTGGAACAGCATACAATAAATCCCCCCAAGAACGAGACAAAGCTCCGTGTTGAGGGTCAAGCAGCGAACAGTCAGAGCTGTGGGTTTATTGTTTTTATATACACATTAGTACCATCCACAGGGTTTTGAAAAACAACCAATAAACACATACAATACACTCAGACACTCCCACACAAAATCCTCCCCTCTGCCTGTGATACAATTACCTTACACAATGGGTAATGTAATTATCACTGGCAGGGAAAAATCTACGACCAAGTCCTGCTGCCTCCTTTCGTGTGAAAAAGATGGCTGCCGTTTTCTCCTGCACGTTACGTTCGGCTATACGAACGGCGGCCCCACAGGGAGAGCACTTAATTGATTGTTCTCTTTGAAGATAATGAGCCAGGGGGGTGGTTAGTGTTCGGTAGTTACAGCTACCGAATGCAAAAAAGTAAAATAACGAAATAACAATATGCGTGGCCGACAGTCAAATGCTGTTTTTAGCTGCATTTAATTCCCAAAGTTTTACTCAGTTTGGAGGTGACTCTAGTGGCTGTCAGTATAATAGAGATGGTTTTCACCCTGCAATGTAATCATAATGTAAACATTTTCAGAATCAGCATACTCCAAATACAAACATATGTCAAAATCATCCAAATTGGTCCCTTGGTTCAAAAGATAGATCGAAGTCCTTTGTGACCAAATGAAGCATGGCTTTTCTGCCCCAAACCAGTTCCACAGAGTCTTCTATCCTGGAGATAATTGGGAAGTAATCCAATTATCTCCAAGGACAGAGGCAAAACTCCATTGAACACATGGCAGCAATAAAAAAAAGACAATAAAATACATAAAAATATATAACTGTGCAGCCATTGCATAAAACAGGAGACATTCAACATATCCCCAGATAGCTCAGATCTGAGCGCACATTATTACTGAATGGCACTCAGAGCACACACATACAGTTCAATTGCCATGGAGCCAAAGTCTTTCCCATAGTCTTTCATTATACGAATGGGCTCCATGGCATAGCTATCTGGGGTATCACAAAACAGGGCCAGCACCGAATGACCCGGCTTTTGTGTCTTCGCAGGGGAAAATCAAGCATTTCAACATGGGGCCATAGTCTAAAGGCAGCAGGCGGGCAACCAGGCTCCTCCAATGCACAGTGGCGAGATTGGTCTCGTCTCAGCGTATTTTATTATTTTTCAATTTTACTCAAAGCAAATAACGTATTTTATTAGTAACAGTCATTAATAAACTACACTTTTACCTTAACTTATTAATTTGTGGCTAATTTTATGTAATCTGGGGATACATAAATCCCTGCCCCTGGCCAGCCCCTGTAATGACTGTAGGTCAGGGCCAGATTAAGAGCCCAGTGGGCCTGGTGCTGACAAATATGAGGGGCCTAAGTACAGAATCTTATCGACCAAAAACACGAAAACAGTCATACCTCTCAAGCGTTATGTGTCTGGTGGAGATCTTGCCGGATGGAAACTCATAGGATGCAGTCATAAGAAAACTCAGTTTCTCTTAAAATATGCTAATCTCTCTCTAATTCATGCTTTCATCTTTCAATTAAATCCATACCCCCTAACAGCAGTGTAGCAGGAAGTCAATGGGCGGTGTAAAAGTGGGCCACTGACGCGGATCATGTAAACAGAACTTCCGAAAGGGACGAACATGTGCAAAAAGGAGGCGTTTCTGCCCAAAAAATTGGAAGGCATGTCAGGCTATCCGCCAATCATGCATGCTGGCCAACATCATCCTGAGCTTGGCATAAATGCGTCTAATGATGCGCTCGCTTCATGCTTTCTAAGGACTGTCCCCTAGCATTCACATGTCCACTTGTCTCCTTCCCTTCTTAATAGAAGGCAGAAGCTCCTGGTATACAGTCTGAGACAGAGAAAAGGTGGATGTAGTGAGTGTAGAAGAAAGAACATGCCACAGTGTTAGAGAGACCAAAGTCAGCATTACCTAAACTAATTCCATTTCAGCTAGTCCACACAAGTTTTGTTTCCATATATCCCTCTTAAGTTTCCATACTTAAGCAATAGTATGTGAATAGTAGTTAGGGTTGCCACCTTTCTTGGAAAAAAATACAGGCCTAACAAATTTGCATAACTAATTATGTATGCATGACTTGATGTTAATCACAAGGAATGATATAAGAGAAAATTCTGTAAAATCACCAAAAAACACATACAGTTTGATTCTGATGTATAGATGGATTGCTCCCAGTGCCCCTAGTGTCTGTGTCCCCATGTCTCCCAGTGTCCCCATGTCACTAGGGGACACTGTGAGACATGGGGACACTGGTAGACCTGGGGACACAGACTATGTATTACAGTGTCCCTATGTATCACAGTGTCTCAGTGCCCCATGTCTCCTAGTGTCCCCAAGTGTCTGTGTTACCATGTCCCTCAGTGTCCCCATGTCACTAGGGGACACAGAGACATGGGTACACAGGGAGACACTAGGGACACTGAGATACTGGGAGACATGGGGACACAGACACCAGGGACACTGGCTGGGAGACATGGGGACACAGACACCAGGGACACTGGCTGGGAGACATGGGGACACAGACACCAGGGACACTGGCTGGGAGACATGGGGACACAGACACCAGGGACACTGGCTGCGAGACATGGGGACACTGAGACACTTGGGGACATTGTGTCCCTAGTGTCTCAGTGTCCCCATGTCTCCCAGCGTTCCCTAGTGTCTCAGTGTTCCAGTGTCTCAGTGTCCCCATGTGTCTGTGTCACCATGTCTAAGTGTCCCTATCTGTGTCTGTCCCCGTGTCTCCAAGTGTCTCAGCATCCCCAGAGGTCTCCCTGTGTCTCTGTCTCACAGTGTCCCCTATTGTCTCAGTGTCCCCATGTCTCCCTGCAGCCTTTACCCTATCACTCACTTCCCTGAGTCGTAGGCTGTCTCTGCAGGCCGGGAGCTGCTGACTGGACTCTCTGTGATGTGTAGCTGCTCCCCGCGGATCAGTAGAGAGATGCAGGTATATGCTTTAACTTCCTATCCCTACCTCTCTCCACACACACAGCGACCCCTATTGGCCGATGCTGGTATTGCAGAGTAATCTCTGTTTATATTGAGAAAAATACTGGCATTTGTATTGCCAGTATTACTGTAATATCGGCACCGGCCAGGCAGCTTCAAATAAATACCTGCCAGGTGGCAACCCTTAGAGATTTTTTTTAAATCAATGGACCTATTCCGTGGGCCTGGGCCTGGAGCTGCAGCCCCATCAGCCCCTATGTTAATCTGGCCCTGCTGTAGGTATTCAGTGTGTGACTACTTACCATGCTGTAGGGATAACAATGCCCAGCACACAGTGAGTGGCCCCTGCCCTGCACAGCAGATTACAATTTGCCGCAGTTCACGGTGTTAGCGAGTAGATGCCTCCTAGCTAACCATATCATGGCAGTGTCCAGATTTGGCAGATGGTATGCTAACGGAGATGCTCCAAATTTATTTTACTGTTTTTAGCACATTTGTACGGCGCACTATAATAGCAATGCAATAAAAAATAAAAATAAACCTGAATAAAATGGCAAATAATAAAATACACTTTTACCACATTGCATTATCTAAAACACCGACATGTTTTACATCATAGGGTTAAAATGACAGGACCACTGTACCCAGACCACTTCATCGATTCATTGAGATATAGCATTGAGATACTTCATTGAGGTACAGCAATGAGATACTTCACTGGGATACATTGACATACATCATTGAGATACTTCATTGGGATACAGCAATGGATACAGCATTGAGATACTTCATTGGGATACAGCATTGAGATACAGCATTGAGATACTTCACTGGGATACAGCATTGAGATACTTCACTTGGATACATTGACATACATCATTGAGATACTTCACTGGGATACAGCATTGAGATACTTCACTGGGATACAGCATTGAGATACAGCATTGAGATACTTCACTGGGATACAGCATTGAGATACTTCATTGGGATACAGCAATGGATGCAGCATTGAGATGCAGCATTGAGGTACAGAATTGAGATATATCACTGAGATACATTGACATACATCATTGAGATACGTCATTGACATACAGCATTGACATAGAGCATTGAGATACAGCATTAAGATACTTCATTGAGGTACATCATTGAGATATATCATGGAGATACTTTACTGAGATACAGTATTGAGATACAGCATTGCGATATTTCATTGATATACAGCATTGAGATACAGTATTGAGATATGTCATTATGATACAGCATTGAGATACTTCACTGAGATACAGCATTGAGGTACAGCATTGAGATAAAGCATTGAGATACAGCATTGAGATACAGCATTGAGATACAGCATTGAGATACAGCATTGAGATAAAGCATTGAGGTACAGCATTGAGATAAAGCATTGAGGTACAGCATTGAGATACAGCATTGAAGTACAGCATTGAGATATAGCGTTGAGATACAGCATTGAGGTACAGCATTGAGGTACAGCATTGATATACATTGAGATACAGCATTGAGATATATTGAGATACAGCAATGAGATATAGCGTTGAGATACATTGAGATACAGCAATGAGATATAGCGTTGAGATACATTGAGATACAGCTGTGACAGACCGCTGGCACTCCGACTGAGTACCTCCGCCAATCGATGCTCCTAGTGCTCGCTGAGGAATCCAAGCACTCCAACCGACACCATCAGCACTGCAGACCCCTCTTCCAGCGATGCAATTGCGCCGGGGTCTCTGCTGTCTCCACCCACCCTGGACCCAAGGCCAGGATCCAGCTTCCAGTGGGTGAACCTCTCTTTCCCCAGAGAGCAGGAACAAGCTCTTAGCAGAACTTAGTGATCATACCATCACATTCACATAAAAATTATATATTCACAATCAATCCATTCAGGGAAACAACATATCAAAAAATGGCATGAATCAGACCAGGGGTTCAGAAGTTAGCAAAGTATCTTTTGGGGCCTGGCTGGCAGCATGGCTATCTGGCCCAAACCGGTTTTACAGAGCCCTCTAGCATGGAGACAATGGGGAAAGTAATCCAATGATCCAGGGATAGAAGCAGACTCCATTGAGCACATGTTCCCAGTAAAACACAAAAGGATACAAAAATACATAACTCCTAACATACTGAATTGAACGGGCCAAATCTCCCAGGGTCCATAGTCACAGGGTAAGAGGCGGGCAAGCAGTCCTCTCCAGGCACAAGTGGCGAAGGGCACTTCGTCACAACAGCATTGAGATATATTGAGATACAGCATTGAGATATATTGAGATACAGCATTGAGATGCATTGAGATACATTGAGATACAGCATTGAGATACAGCATTGAGATATATTGAGATACAGCATTGAGATGCATTGAGGTACAACATTGATATACATTGAGATACAGCATTGAGATATATTGAGATACAGCAATGAGATATAGCGTTGAGATACATTGAGATACAGCAATGAGATATAGCGTTGAGATACAGCATTGAGATATATTGAGATACAGCATTGAGATACATTGAGATACAGCATTGAGATATATTGAGATACAGCATTGAGATACATTGAGTTACAGCATTGAGTTGCATTGAGATACAGCATTGAGATACATCATTGATATACATTGAGATACAGCATTGAGATATATTGAGATACAGCAATGAGATATAGCGTTGAGATACATTGAGATACAGCAATGAGATATAGCGTTGAGATATATTGAGATACAGCATTGAGATACATTGAGATACAGCATTGAGATACAGCATTGAGATACAGCGTTGATATACATTGAGATACAGCATTGAGATACAGCATTGAGATACAGCGTTGATATACATTGAGATACAGCGTTGAGATACAGCGTTGATATACATTGAGATACAGCGTTGAGATACAGCATTGAGATACAGTGTTGATATACATTGAGATACAGCATTGAGTTGCATTGAGATACATTGAGATACAGCATTGAGATACAGCGTTGATATACATTCGATACAGCGTTGAGATACAGCATTGAGATACAGCATTGAGATACAACGTTGATATACATTGAGATACTTCATTGAGATACAGCGTTGAGATACAGCATTGAGATACAGCATTAAGATACAGTGTTGATATACATTGAGATACAGCATTGAGATACAGCGTTGATATACATTGAGATACAGCGTTGAGATACAGCATTGAGATACAGCGTTGATATACATTGAGATACAGCGTTGAGATACAGCATTGAGATACAGCGTTGATATACATTGAGATACAACATTGAGATCCTTCATTGAGATACAGCGTTGAGATACAGCGTTGATATACATTGAGATACAGCGTTGAGATACAGCATTGAGATACAGCATTGATATACATTGAGATACAGCGTTGAGATATAGCGTTGAGATACAGCATTGAGATACAACATTGAGATACTTCATTGAGATACAGCGTTGAGATACTTCATTGAGATACAGCGTTGAGATACAGCGTTGAGATACAGCATTGATATACATTGAGATACATTGAGATATAAGGGCGGACTGACTACTCGGGCAGATTGGTCATGGACGAGGGCCCGGGGCAGTCAGGGGCCTGGCTGGATTAACAACCATACCCTCAGAGATCTCCCCAGCCCGAGAGGAACCATTACAGCATTGAGGTCGGCCCTAAAGCTGAGTAAGACCTGGCAGCAATCCTGCTCTCTGGGTCAGGTCTCCTCCATGCTCTCCCTGTGCGGAGCTCGGTGTGAGGGGAGGGGGCGGAGCTCGGTGTGAGGGGAGGGGGCGGAGTTTGATGTGAGGGGAGAGGGCGGAGCTCGGTGTGAGGGGAGGAGGCAGAGCTCGATGTGAGGGGAGGGGGCGGAGCTCGGTGTGAGGGGAGGAGGCGGAGCTCGGTGTGAGAGGAAGTGACATCACTTCCTGTCTCCTCCTCTCCTGCTGAGTGGCTGAAGCTAAGGTGCCGCCTTGCAGAAACAGCAGGTATGTAAATTCCCCATATAAAAAGTAATAAAAAAAGGAAATATCGAAGATAATTGCTCAAAATCACCAGGTGTGTCACTCCAAACCACACCGAGTGCAACAACTTGAATATAGTAAATAATATGGTGAGAGCATATAAAGTGGTGAATAAAATAATCGTGGATAAAATATATAAAACATGCAATTTACCATGTATTTGTGTACATCCTAAAAATATAAAACACAATACATAGTATAGCCTGTAGAAAATAAATGAATAATAATGAAGAAAAATAACCCACTCACATGGTGCTGAGCCGTTAGCAAGTGGCTCAGACTATAAGCGCCTTTTCCAATATATTGGAGATCAAATGCTGGAACCCAAATAGAGATGTCCGCTGTAGAATCACTACTTCCCTTTAAATAGCCCAAATAGACGCCAAATAGAGGGGTGGATACAGGAACAAATATCTCTAATGGTTAACATAAGAATACAGCATAAACTGAATCTCCGATAAAAAGTCAGCTGCAGCTACACAGATACATGGTAAATTGCATGTTTTATGTAAATTCCCCATGGCATCCAGCATCCATCTCCCTTGCCCCCCCCTCCACCCACTTCAGCGCCCACTTCAGCCCTCACCCATCTCCCCTTGCACCCACTTCAGCTCCCACCCATCTCACCCAGCACCCACATAAGCCCCACCTATCTCCCCAGCACCCACTTCAGCTTCCACCCATCTCCCCAGCACCCACTTCAGACCCCACCCATTTCCCCTAGCACCCACCTCAGCCCCCATCCCCCTCAGCCCCCACCCATCTCCCCCAGCACCCACCTCAGCCCCCAGCACCCACCTATCCCACCCTTCACCCGCAGCGCCTATCTCAGCATACTGCAGCCTTTATATCCCCCACACAGTAGAGCTTCTATTATCCATGCAAACACACACTATAGCCCCAGTATTCCACAGACGCCTACTACAGCCCATATCCCACACACATACAATAGCCCCGACCATACACACTGCAACCAACCAGTCGTCTCCAGCCACATACTACACTGCAAACAGACTCATACGCACACACAAACCCACCAGGAGCCCTTACTGTATGCACACAATTCCACAGACAGCTTCGCCGACACATGGAAAAACCACAAGCAGCCTCCCTACGGATACTAATTACAAGCAGCATCCCCACCATCGCAATACTGCATACAGCCTCCTTACACACACACACATTTATTACAACCATTAAAATATTCTGCAGCACAGTACAACAGGTAAAAGAATACAAACAAATCTAACACAACACGTTGACATACAGGAACACAACATCACAAGCAGCTGCCCACACACTGAACCCCACAAGTAGTCTACAAACTTGTATGGACTTGTATGATTAAAAACAAATATTGGGGACGTTGCTTGTGATGTTACCAGCAAACACAGAGGAAGTGTATAATTACATTGGCTTAATTTTTTTATTTTAGTGGGGATGAGGGGGGCGAGGCATGCCAGTAAGGGTTACTCCATTCAAAAATCGTGTTTTATTAAAACACTGTTTTTGGTTGGATTAACTTCTCAAAAGCAAATCTGATCCTGTTTGGAGGCCTCGCAGGTAGGAGTCATAACTGTGTGGTTTTCACACAGCCATTATGGGTGCAGGGCAGCATGCATATAATATCTGTGTGAAAGCCACACAAAGAAGGGAGGAGAGTAGCAAAAGCCAAAAAACTTTGCCCCAGAAGGGGTCCCTTGGTCTCCCATTGCCCAAGGGCCCTGTGAGTTGTTAGGTCGCCCCTGTTGAGATACATCATTGAGATGAAGTGGTTTGGGTGACCATTATAGGTGATATTTTCAATCTTTTATTCAATGGTGTAATTTCATATCCTTCCATATTTTGGAGCATCCATCAGCTCTAGGTTACTCTAGATATTGGGCATGTGGGATAGAACTTTTTTTATTCTGCTATGTAAACACATTTGACCTTCTGATCATTCTTTCACATCACAAAAGAGCGCAGCGCTGGTGAATATAACCTAGAATCCTATGCAGAGCGCAGCATTGGTAAATATAACCTAGAATCCTATGCAGAACCCAGCGTTGGTTGTAGCGGATGGCATTGGGCTGTCCTGAAAACTACATGTATTTTAATGTATTTGGTTAAATTGTATCTATGTATGTGAAACTGTATGCAGCATTCGCCTGATTGTTCGGTAGAATCACTCTAAGCATTATGCGAATGAAACTACTGAACAGTCAGACCACCCCAGTGGGAAGTGTGCCTCCAATTACCAGCTGCAACAATGTTGCGAACGGGTAATTGGCAATCTGTGCAGTAGGTCCTTTGTTCGCAGGGTGGCCGCCATTCGGGAGACGAACGCGTGGCGGCGGCCATTTTAAAACTCCCGAACAGCGGTGTTTTGCCGTTGAGTGTCTGGAACCCAAATCGGACACTCGGCTAGGCAAAGACCGCTGAGACCTCCACACTGCCCTTAAGTTCGTATCCAAACTACCGAACAGCCACCCGTTCGGTAGAAAGAAACAACCGAACAAGGGGATTCATGCGAACCCTCCCTAGTCTCTATAGCCCAAGCCTTTCGTTCCATTTATTCCCTTCTTTTGTGACCGACCGCAGGGCCCCATCTTATGGAACCAATTTCAGCTGTTCCCTCCAGCGCGGTCGGTCTTTTTATTACCTCCACAGATTTCCCGAACCCCTGGTCCGATCTGGGTGATTTTTGGATATGTCTCTCACCCAGATCAGAGCTACCAGGGGATGTAACATTTAAAGGGGTACCCCTAGGTTTAGGGGTACATCCAGAAACTCAGGGAATTTGTGTGCTGTATAAGGGGATTATGAGTCAGGCTTAGGGGAGGAGATATGTGGGAGGTTACTCAGGTATGATTGAACACTGTACTAATGACTGTAAATCCCTCCCTTGCATGGGAGAATGCTTTATAAGGCCACTGTGTGAATAAAAGTTTAGTTCTGCTCCTGATGCTGTGTGTCGTCCAGTCATTAGGATTGCTGTTGGGATATTGTTGGATTATTTTGCCTGCTGGAAACCTTGCCTTATGGATTTACAATACTTGTTCCTGAGCCTCACTGGGATCTTAAGCGGAGATAACCTGTGGAATACTAGCTCTCCGCTACATTGGTAAATATAACCTATAATTCTACGCAGAGCGCAGCGTTGGTAAATGTAACCTAGATTCCTACACAGAGCGCAGCGTTGGTAAATGTAACCTAGAATCCTACACAGAGCGCAGCGTTGGTAAATGTAACCTAGAATCCTACACAGATTGCAGCGTTGGTAAATATAACCTAGAATCCTACACAGAGCGCAGCGTTGGTAAATGTAACCTAGAATCCTACACAGAGCGCAGCGTTGGTAAATGTAACCTAGATTCCTACACAGAGCGCAGCGTTGGTAAATGTAACCTAGAATTCTAAACAGAGCGCAGCGTTGGTAAATATAACCTAGATTCCTACACAGAGCGCAGCGTTGGTAAATGTAACCTAGATTCCTACACAGAGCGCAGCGTTGTTAAATGTAACCTAGATTCCTACACAGAGCGCAGCGTTGGTAAATGTAACCTAGATTCCTACACAGAGCGCAGCGTTGGTAAATATAACCTAGATTCCTACACAGAGCGCAGCGTTGGTAAATGTAACCTAGAATTCTACACAGAGCGCAGCGTTGGTAAATGTAACCTAGAATCCTACACAGAGCGTAGCGTTGGTAAATGTAACCTAGAATCCTACACAGAGCGCAGCGTTGGTAAATGTAACCTAGAATCCTACACAGAGCGCAGCGTTGGTAAATGTAACCTAGAATCCTACACAGAGCGCAGCGTTGGTAAATATAACCTAGAATCCTACACAGAGCGCAGCGTTGGTAAATATAACCTAGATTCCTGCACAGAGCGCAGCGTTGTTAAATGTAACCTAGAATCCTACGCAGAGCGCAGCGTTGGTAAATGTAACCTAGAATCCTACACAGAGCGCAGCGTTGGTAAATATAACCTAGAATTCTACGCAGAGCGCAGCGTTGGTAAATGTAACCTAGAATCCTACACAGAGCGCAGCGTTGGTAAATATAACCTAGAATTCTACACAGAGCGCAGCGTTGGTAAATATAACCTAGAATCCTACACAGAGCGCAGCGTTGGTAAATGTAACCTAGAATCCTACACAGAGCGCAGCGTTGGTAAATGTAACCTAGATTCCTACACAGAGCGCAGCGTTGGTAAATGTAACCTAGAATTCTAAACAGAGCGCAGCGTTGGTAAATATAACCTAGATTCCTACACAGAGCGCAGCGTTGTTAAATGTAACCTAGATTCCTACACAGAGCGCAGCGTTGGTAAATGTAACCTAGAATCCTACACAGAGCGCAGCGTTGGTAAATGTAACCTAGATTCCTACACAGAGCGCAGCGTTGGTAAATGTAACCTAGATTCCTACACAGAGCGCAGCGTTGGTAAATGTAACCTAGAATTCTAAACAGAGCGCAGCGTTGGTAAATATAACCTAGATTCCTACACAGAGCGCAGCGTTGTTAAATGTAACCTAGATTCCTACACAGAGCGCAGCGTTGGTAAATGTAACCTAGGATTCTACACAGAGCGCAGCGTTGGTAAATGTAACCTAGAATCCTACACAGAGCGCAATGTTGGTATGGTAGTTCTAAAATAAGCTCTTTTGTATAGTTTGAAAATCATCTTTGAACAGGATGTGAATGTTTTTAAGACAGTTATCTGATGTTGTCAGAAACCCTTTTAATAAATCAATAGAAGCCACGAAATTCCATGCGCACATTAAATTAAAGCTCAAATCATTTCCTGCTTTCAGAGGCTGCTTAATTTAGTATCATTTTCAGCGTTGGGTTTCTGTATAGTGGCCTCTTGTTCTGTATAATGCCTGTGTCTGTGAATAGAAATGCTAAGCTTCTCCGATACACACTCATGTACAAAATATCTAATAATGATGGCCATGTTACTAAGACAATGGGCGTAATATAATAAATTATACTTCAGCAGATTTCTAACTATTTTTTAAAAATATGAAAATAAACACATTTTAATAAAAGTGAATACACTGCCATCTCCTTTCGGCTAATTGGCTGAGAGGTTCACTAATAACGTTATGAAAGCTAATTAAATTACGCTAATTTCTGACACTGTTTTTATGTATTGCTCTATAACGTGAATTAAGGTTTGTTCTAAATAGTCAGCTGCAGTGAACTGAAATAATTTTACAATTTCTACCTGGAACAATATACTCCCCTTTGTTTGTTGCCCTTGTCCTTTAGATTGTAAGCTAGCTTGCCCAAGGCCCTCACTAGCTCCTATCCCTGTAAGTGAAATGCCTTGTGAATCCTTTGTACAGGTTATTGTTAATCAACAATAACACAGGGTAGCACTCCTTGCACGCATTGGGGTATAACTGTATAACAAGCAATTCTGGTGCAAATTTCTAAAAAATGTTTTACTGGTTTCCATGGAGACTGCTCTACTATGTCCCAGAATGACTCTTTATACATAAACATAATTCTATAATAACTGCAACTCTGTAACTTCACAGCTATCGTGACCACACATGGAGATAATAATTCCCCTATAATTAACTGCCTTGTTCTGTATATCTAATGGCAGACGTTCCTAATACCGGGGTCTTTAATGCTTCAGTTTTTGTGAGTGATCTCTCGTGTGCAGTTACAATATGTGTCCCTGCTTCCTCAGGCACAAGTCTGTTGCAGGAAGTGGTGTATCTGGTGAGCCAGGGGGCCGACCCGGATGAAATCGGACTGATGAACATTGATGAACAGCTCCCAGTATTGGAGTACCCACAACCTGGTCTGGATATCATAAAGGTAAGTGTTCATTTACTGGAATTATAAATGATTTTCAGACATGAGAGTGTTTTGAATACAGGAAACATATCGCACCACAACATTCTGTTCTCTTCAGTCATTTCAGTGGAATCTTACCTTCTAAATGCTCAATTTCACTGCTTCCTCTTGGGTTTCACTGTTTAACAATGGGGTGACAACAAACAACTTCAGGGGTCCAGGGGCCAGCACAGGAGATTAACGAAAAGTCATATGATAAGGGGGGGAAGTTGATTGACGAATGGACACAGTAAGAAAAAGGAGCTGAACACAGAAGGGAAATGAGTTCATAGTTAAAGGAACACTCAAGACCCCTACCAGGATTTAGCTTGCTGACTTGCTTTATGTGTGAAGATTGTGTCCTCTTTTTTCAATTTCTAAAAATTGCAGATTTCAATAGTAATTAAGACTTTTATAAATTAATCTAGTTACACCCTCCTGGCTGTCAATCAGACACCCAGTCCTGTTATTCCCTGGTTTAGGTAGCTCAGTGGAGATCAACTCAAGAGGCAGCAATTGCCCAGAACACCTGCCTTGCAAAGACTTCTCATTCAGCTGCATTGGGAAGCCTGTGATTATTATTATTATTATTAAATTTATATAGCGCCATAAATTCCGCAGCGCTTTACAACGCATGCTTAAAGGACCACTATAGTGCCAGGAAAACATACTCGTTTTCCTGGCACTATAGTGCCCTGAGGGTGCCCCCACCCTCAGGGACCCCCTCCCGCCCGGCTCTGGAAGGGGGAAAGGGTTAAAAACTTACCTTTTTCCAGCGCTGGGCGGGGAGCTCTCCTCCTCCGATCCTCCTCCGTTCCTCCTCCTGGGCTGAATGCGCCCGCGTAGCGGCAAGAGCTTTCCTATGGGCGCTTGCGTGCTCTCACTGAAATCACGAGTGAAAGCCGCATGGCGCCTCTGGTGGCTGTCAATGAGACAGCCACTAGAGAATGAGGAAGGCAACCCATTCATAAACATAGCAGTTTCTCTGAAACTAAACTGGTTAGGGGGAAGGCTTAACCCATTCATAAACATAGCAGTTTCTCTGAAACTGCTATGTTTATAAAAAAATGGGTTAACCCTAGAAGGACCTGGCACCCAGACCACTTCATTAAGCTGAAGTGGTCTGGGTGCCTAGAGTGGTCCTTTAAACTCCTTTACTGTGTTAACCTCTACCACTTCAGCTGGAAGGCTATTCCATGCATCCACTCTCAGTAAAGTAATACTTCCTGATATTATTTTTAAACCTTTGTCCCTCTAATTTAAGACTATGTCCTCTTGTTGTGGTAGTTTTTTTAAAATATAGTCTCCTCCTTTACTGTGTTGATTCCCTTTATATATTTAAATGTTTCTCTCATATCCCCCGTCTCGTCTTTCCTCCAAACTATACATGTTAAGATCCTTTAACCTTTCCTGGTAAGTTTTATCCCGCAATCCATGAACCAGTTTAGTAGCCCTTCTCTGAACCCTCTCTAAGGTATCAATATCCTTCTGAAGATACGGTCTCAGTACTGTGTACAATACTCCAAGTGAGGTCTCACCAGTGTTCTGTACAATGGCATTAGCACTTCCCTCTTTCTACTGCTAATACCTCTCCCTATACAACCAAGCATTCTGCTAGCATTTCCTGCTGCTCTATTACATTGTCTGCCTACCTTTAAGTCATCAGAAATAATCACCCCTAAATCCCTTTCCTCAATTGTTGAGGTTAGGACTCTATCAAATATTCTGTACTCTGCCCTTGGGTTTTTACGTCCAAGATGCATTATCTTGCACTTATCCACATTAAATGTCAGTTGCCACAATTCTGACCATTTTTCTAGTTTACCTAAATCATTTGTCATTTGGCTTATCCCTCCTGGAACATCAACCCTGTTACATATCTTAGTATCATCAGCAAAAGACATACCTTACCATCAAGACCTTCTGCAATATCACTAATAAAAATATTAAAGAGAATGGGTCAAGTACAGATCCCTGAGGTACCCCACTAGTGACAAGTCCAAGCTTCGAATATATTCCATTAACTACAACCCTCTGTTGCCTGTCACTCAGCCACTGCCTTACCCATTCAACAATATTGGAATCCAAACTTAAAGATTGCAGTTTATTGATAAGCCTTCTATGTGCAACAGTGTCAAAAGCCTTACTGAAATCTAGGTAAGCAATGTCTACTGCACCACCCTGATCTATAATTTTAGTTACCCAATCAAAAATCAATAAGATTAGTTTGGCATGATCTCCCTGAAGTAAACCCATGTTGTCTCTGATCTTGAAATCCATGTGTTTTTAGATGTTCATCAATCCTATCCTTTAACATGGTTTCCATCACTTTCCCCACTACTGAAGTAAGGCTTACTGAATATGTGTGCTCCTGGCACAAGTAGCTAATTTTATTAAAGGACACGGAGGCTCTTATTAGGCTTTCCTCTTTCTTTATTCCTCAGCAGCAAAGAAAGCTAAGGTGTTTATTTGTAGAAAAAAAGGAAAAAGAAACATGTATAACTACCCTCACAGGGTTAACATTACATCATTATCTCCTATCCAATAGGAGCAGTCCTTCTCTGATATCCTTTCCTGTAACCTCCTCCTCTTCCTCTTTCTTTGCTGCTGCCTCAGCTAAGTAACACTTTGTTTTTTCTCTTAACTGTCATTTGTACTTATATATGTGTGTATGACTTTATTTTAAATTATGCCTGTTTTTGTGACCTGACTTAAACTCAGCAGAACGCATTGTGCGTTTGGTGTACACCCCCCCCCTTCAAGCTAACCCTCCGTGGGGGGGCCCCTTTCCCACATTGTCCCGCCGGTACCCCGCCCCCCCGCGGGGATACCGGCTCCACACTTGCCACTGGGTAGTTTATTACCCCCCTCATCGGTCACGCGGCGCAGGGAACCCTCGAGGACCGGACCGGCTCTCTCTCCCGGCGGAGGGTTCCCCCGCCGCGGCCTCTCGTTCGTGAGCGCCGCGCGCGCATGCGCGGCCCATACTGGCGCCCATCTTAAAGGGGCGGCACTAGGAAAAATTTTGCCGCTCTTTTTCTCCCTCAGCTCGTTCAGCCCACTGCAGGGCGCGAGCTGATTGGTTTGTTTGCTGTACTGTTAGCTTGCCAGTGATCCCAGGAGCCATTCCTGAGGGAACACTCGGTAAGCTAACAGTACATTCTGTGCTTGTTGTCCTGCTGCCTTGTCTCTTGCCTGTTTTAGTAGCTCATTACTGACACATCAGGTAGCCATATACATAATCCTGTCTTTTAAACCTATGATGCAGACCCCTGAGGCTTTTTCTGCCCCTGGCACCAGTGATAAAGGTGATACTAAGGCCCAGCACGGGCCCTCCGTGGCTGAACCCATATCCCTGCATAGGGACATGGTGGCCCCTCTGGAGCAATTGGACTCTGAGGAGTTCCACTCGCTCCTGGACGCCACCATGTCAAAATCAGTTACCCAAGCTATCTTTACCGCCATGGGGGTTATGTCGGATAACTTGTCACACTCTATTTCGAGTGCCATTAAGGCGTCTAACCCCAGCATGACTCAAGCCAGGGCCGCAGAGGGGGAACCTTTAAGCAGAGAGGGCCGTAAGGCCATTAGTAAAACCCACAATGTGGGAACGCATGCCTCCAAAACTAGACTGACGGACAGGGTACGTCCTGTCGCACCTGAGGTCGTGGGGCCCCCACGAAAACGAGCCACCCGCCGGGCAAAAGCGGCGCGGACATGGAAGAGGGCAAAAGCCCTGTCAGATTCTTCCGACACTGATTCGGATAGTGAGGAGGTTTTGAACGGGTCGGACCAAGCCGACTCAGAGGAATGGGAGTTTTCCTCCCCGGACCAGAGTCCGACACGCACTCCAGCCAACCCCGTGCATGACACGGCGGATGAAACCACTATTCTGGACCCTCAGGGCGAACCTCTGTTCGACCCAGACACCTTACAAAACCCGAGATCGGCGGAGTGGTATCCAACCGATCATGTAGCACGATACATAGCGGCCAGAATCCGCAAACCTTTGGATAAGGCCACCAGGCAGAAACTACGGGCTGAATGCCCACGCCCGACTGTGCCTGACATGGCCTGTGCTACACCTGATATCGACCCCAAAATAGCACAGTTCTTGGGTAAGTCTGGCTGGAAGGCGAAGAAGGGACTTGATTACTCCCTACGCCACTGCCAAGATAAAGTGCTGGATACATTGGGCCCTAGTGCCAAGATTTTTGAATTGGTCGAAGCGGCCTTAAATGAGGGAACGCCTCTTGATTTACTAGCCATTAGAGGCTGGGCCCAACGGTCGATCTGCCTCATCGGCAACGCTAACGCTGCACTGGCCACAGAAAGGCGCAAAACTATTTTAATGAAAATCGAGCCCAAGCTAATTAACATGGCTCTCACCGAACCGGGACCGCAAGCCAAGGGTCTCCTGTTCGGTGACAACTTTGTCAAAGAATTGGGAATGTATGTGAGCACCTTTACGGCCCTAGACAAGGCACAGACAAATATAAAAAGAGTGTTCTCTCCCAGAGTTTTTGGTGGGGCCGGCAGACACCGGGGCCGTCTGCCCGGCCGTTCTTCCCGCGGTTCCTACCGGGGATACAGAGGTCCCGCCACGGCTAGATTCCAGCCGCCAGAGAGCCGTACGCCCTCACCCTTCTTCCCGGTCAGGGCCAGACCATGGCAACCTCGAGGACCCAGAGGCAACTCGTACAGCCGCCGACCTTATGGTAAGTGTATTACCTCCCCCCCTCCCGGGTGTACCGACTGTGGGGGCAGACTGTTACACTTTGTAGAGTCCTGGCAACAGCTGACTGCGGACGTATGGGTCCTCAACACCATCAGGGGTTACCACATAGAGTTTGTGCGAACCCCGGTCCAAACACACAGACCACACCGCATAGTTTTCTCCACGCAAGACAAGGGATTGGTGAGCGAGGAGATTCGCACCCTCCAAGCGAAGGGCGCCATATACCAGGTCCCTTCACCATCCCCTGGGTTCATGAGCAATCTGTTTCTGGTACCCAAGAAGGGCGGCGGGGTACGCCCAGTCATCAACTTGCGGCCACTAAACGCATTTGTGCGGTACCACCATTTCAAAATGGAGGGTATCCACTGCCTGCGAGACCTGCTCAGGTTAGGGGACTGGATGGTGAAGCTGGACCTCCAAGATGCATATCTTACAATCCCCATTGCGGAAGAGTGCCACCACCTGCTCCAATTCCAATGGGAAGCGACAATGTGGCGATTCCGCTGCCTTCCCTTTGGTCTCTCATTGGCCCCTTGGTGCTTCACCAAGCTGCTGAAGCCTGTGGTCGCCTTTCTACGCAGCAGAGGCGTCCGGATGATCATTTATCTGGACGATATGCTGATCATGGCGCACGAAGCCCGTCAATTACAACAGCACCTGACATGGGCAGTGACACTGCTACAGAATCTAGGATTTCTCATCAACTGGGAGAAATCGGTGCTTACCCCGTCCCAGAACATGGAATTCTTGGGTTTTCACATAGATGCGACTACCGGTACGCTCAGCTTACCAACGGACAAAGTAAAACTCATCAAAAAGGAGATCCGCAGAACACTCAAGAGGCCGGTACTGACACTCCGACAACTAGCCAGAGTAATCGGACTCCTCTCAGCCTCCATTCAGGCAATATTCCCGGGGCCACTACACTACAGGGCCCTACAGCGTCTAAAGGCCACACAATTACGCTCAGGGCATGCGTACTCCGACTCTGTACCACTCGACTACGAAGCCAAACAGGAACTCACATGGTGGCTGCTACACATGGAGGCGTGGAACGGCAGAGCAATATTCGGGTCTGCCCCGGACTTCATCGTAGAGTCCGATGCGAGCACGCACGGTTGGGGAGCGCGCTGCGGGCCTACCTCCACCGGAGGAACCTGGTCGTGCGCAGAGAAAAAATTACACATCAACGGTTTGGAACTCATGGCGGGATCTTTCGCACTGAAGAGCCTCCTCGGGGGCATAACCAATTGCTCCATCGTCCTACGCATGGACAACATTTCCGCAGTCCGCTACATCAACCACCTCGGTGGCACGAGATCGAAGATACTGGCGGACCTGGCCAAGGAGTTCTGGCAACACTGCCTGGAACACAACATCTCGGTCCAAGCGGAATACATCCCGGGTATGTCCAACGTGGTAGCGGATTGGCATTCCAGACACATACAAGACGCCAGCGACTGGCGGCTGGACCGCGAGGTGTTCTTACAGCTTCAAGCGCTCTGGGGCCCGATGCAAATCGATCTGTTCGCATCCCGGCTGAACTCACAACTGCCAACGTTCTTCAGTTGGAGACCAGACCCAGATGCACTAGCAGCGGACGCTTTTCTCCAACACTGGCCGAACAGCCGATTATATGCCTTCCCTCCGTTCTCCCTCATAGCTCGCACGATAGTACATCTGAGACGTACTCAAGCGACCCTGGTCCTCATAACTCCGTTTTGGACAACCCAACCGTGGTTCCCGACCCTAATGGAAATGTCCATGGACTTCCCGAGACGACTTCCGGACCCCTGGTTCCTTTTATCAGACCCAGAGGGCAACCCACATCCCCTCATGACCCAGGGGCGTCTCAAATTCTTAGCGTGGCTCCTTTCAGGGGACCCTGGAGCATACCGGACGTTCCACAGGACACTGTCGAACTACTGGCGGGAGCCTGGGCACCTGGAACTAGACGCTCCTACCTCTATGCCTGGAACGGATGGGCTAGTTGGTGCATGGAACAACAAATGGATCCCGTACGTGCTCCTGTAAGTTATCTGTTGAGGTTCCTCACCAACCTACATAATCAAGGATTGGCCTACCGGACCATCAACGTCTATAGATCAGCAATCTCGGCAGGGCACCAAGGTATAGAGGGAACCCCGATGGGTCAGCAACTTCTGGTATGCCGTCTCCTGAGGGGAATTCGTTTTGCCCGCCCACCACAACCCCGATACTCGTCATTGTGGGACGTCAACTCAGTGCTGACGCTGTTAGAGTCCTGGCCTCAAAACAAGGCACTTACGCTCAAACAACTGTCAGCGAAGCTCACCATGCTCCTCTGCCTGCTATCTTGCAAGAGGGTGTCAGACGTTAGAGCACTGGACGTTGATGCACGCTCCTTTACTCCCACAGGAGTCTCGTTCAACATCTCCAGGCGTACAAAATCGTCAATTACATCAGTCTCATACCCTTCGTTCCCACACAACGAGAAGCTCTGTCCAGTACACTGCCTACGAGAATATGAGAAACGAACCTCGGAATTCAGGAAATCAACACATCCGGAATTGTTTCTGGCCATCAGACAACCACATCAACCTGTCTCCACGGTAACCCTCGCCCGCTGGGTGAAATGGATAATGACGCTAGCTCACATAGATACCTCCGTATATGGCGCACACTCTACTAGAGGAGCCATGGCATCCAAAGCGTTCACGTTAGGTTGTAGATTAGAAGACCTCATGAGAACGGCAGACTGGTCCAGGGAATTGACGTTTAAAGAATATTACTTTCGGCAAACAGAGCACGTGTCGAGCCTGGTTATTTCACAGCTTTGAACTAGCCTAATAAGAGCCTCCGTGTCCTTTAATAAAATTACCAGATTTTACTAATTACATGACGTAAAGTCATGATTTTATAAAGGACACGGAGGCGAGTATTAGCCCACCCGGAACAGATACACAAGTTGTGTATCCCAACCCAGGTACGTACTAAGTATTTTGGTAGAAAGAGTTCACTTTTTTCCTTCTTCACGTAAGTGGTTCTTGGTAATACATAACGTGGTTGACTATGACAGATTTGGTTAAACATAACGGTTTCATAAACAGCTCAAGTTTGATACATAAGAGTAAAACGACAATAGTTGGCAAGGACACGCTTTACCACTATTTTCTTTGTTTTTACAGCGTGAACAATCCTACAACTCCTAGGATGGACGACGAGTTCGAGTTCAAGGGGATCAGTTCTGGAGGTCTCCAATGTTTATTCCCCATGGAGGAGTTCACGGTCAAGTTCAATGTTCAACTGTTTTTTCTGTTTAGGTTAGGTTCGACCGAGTGGATAGTTACTTGGTACAAACACGAACTTTAACTTCGGCAACATTAAGAAAGAGGAAGAGGAGGAGGTTACAGGAAAGGATATCAGAGAAGGACTGCTCCTATTGGATAGGAGATAATGATGTAATGTTAACCCTGTGAGGGTAGTTATACATGTTTCTTTTTCCTTTTTTTCTACAAATAAACACCTTAGCTTTCTTTGCTGCTGAGGAATAAAGAAAGAGGAAAGCCTAATACTCGCCTCCGTGTCCTTTATAAAATCATGACTTTACGTCATGTAATTAGTAAAATCTGGTAATTTTGTTTTCCAATTTACATCAGGAAGATTAAAGTCACCCATGATGATAACTTCCCCCTTCATTGTCATTTTAGCTATTTCCTCAACTAGTAGATTATCTAACTCTTCAATTTGTCCTGGGGGCCTATAAATCACACCTACACGAGTTACTGTGTGATTACCAAATTCTAACGTAGCCCAAACGGACTCTCTTTGCCTCACTAACTTTTATTAGGCTAGATTTTATGCTATCCTTCACATACAAGGCCACCCCTCCCCCTTTCTTGTCTTCCCTATATAAAGAGTACCCTGGTATTGCTATGTCCCAGTCATTTTTCTCATTGTACCATGTCTCAGTAACAGCGACTAAATCTACACTATCAGTTGCCATTATTGCCACAAGTTCATGGATCTTATTCCCTAAACTGCGAGCATTTGTAGACATGACTCTAAGCTTATAATTTTTTAACACACTTGCTACAGGCACCTTCTGTCCTTGTTTTGGGGGACAATTGGATTGATGTTTTATCACCCTTTTGCCCCCCCCCTCCTAGTTTAAATACATCCTAGCAAAACCTCTGAACTGCTCACTGAGAACATTTGTTCCCTTTTGAGAAAGATGCAAACCATCTTTTTTGTACAGCTTATATCCATTCCAAACAGAGCTACCATGAGAAATAAAGCCAAATCCTTGCTCCCGACACCATTCACCAAGCCACAAATTAAAGTCCCTAATACGCATCCGCCTGTCGTTCTGAGTGTTATGCACAGGCAGAACTTCAGAGAATGACAGTGTGGAAGCAACCTGCCGTATATCATTGGCAAAAACACTAAAAACTTCCTTAACCTCTGAAACCTCATTGCAAGCCAAGTCATTTGTCCCTAGATGGACAAGTACATCCAATTCCCCTTCCTGCTTTGCTTGCTTAACAATATTACAGATACGTCTCCTGTCTCTGTGAGCAGTAGCTCCGGGAAGACACCTCACAAGACCACCATTGTCCATCTCCACACCTCTTATAATGGAATCCCCAACAACAACTGCTTTCTATTAGGCCTCACCATAGTCTCCAAGCCGGTCTCCACAACACCACTAGTCTCAGTGCCTCTCTCCACAACACCACTAGCCTCAGTGCCTCTCTCCACAACACCACTAGCCTCAGTGCCTCTCTCCACAACACCACTAGCCTCAGTGCCTCTCTCCACAACACCACTAGCCTCAGTGCCTCTCTCCACAACACCACTAGCCTCAGTGCCTCTCTCCACAACACCACTAGCCTCAGTGCCTCTCTCCACAACACCACTAGTCTTAGTGCCTCTCTCCACAACACCACTAGCTTCAGTGCCTCTCTCCACAATACCACTAGTCTTAGTGCCTCTCTCCACAACACCATTACACTCTGAAAGTGCAGAAAATGAATTATGAAGAGCAACAGACTGTGCAAAATGCTTTTTATCCACGACTCAGTCTACCAGATCCTACAGTAATCCATCTGCCTTTCCTAGTATGTCTCTGCGGCAGTGGCTTTGCAGCAGTTCCAGTCTGAGTTTGTTCACCAGATAATTTACAAATCTCAGACTTCAAAAATACAATCTCCTGCCGCAAGATAGAGAACTGTCTACAGATTAGACAACAACCACACCTCCAAAAAGTGGAACGTGAAACAAATGCATAGCAATTATTACACTGAACTAAGTCTGCCATTCCAATGAGGAGAATAATTTAAATCAAACGAATCTTAACTTTTTATTTATCCTCCTGAATACCTCAGATTACCCCCAGGTTATATCCAGAATATCTCCAACTACACACTTAGAAACAGCACTCTCCAGAATATCTCCAACTTCACACTTAGAAACAGCACTCTCCAGAATATCTCCAACTACACACTTAGAAACAGCACTGCTCAGTGAGTTTACATGTTAGAGGGATGCACATGTAACTTTGTGCGTGACTGCCTGTAACTGACTGTGTGTGTAACTGCCTGCAACTGTGTGTGTGTGTGGCTGTAACTATGTGTATGACTGTCTGCCTGTGACCATGTGTGTGACTGTATATGTGACTGTCTGCCTGTAACAGTGTGCGTGACTGTGTGTAACTGCTTGTAACTAACTGTGTGTGTGTAACTCTCTACCTGTAACTGTGTGTATGACTGCCTGTGACTATATGTGTGAATGTCTGCATGTGACTGTGTGCGTGTGACTGTCTGCCTGTAACTGTGTATGACTGCCTGTGACTATATGTGTGACTGTCTGCATGTGACTGTGTGCGTGTCACTGTCTGCCTGTAACTGTGTGTGACTCTGCCTGTAACTGTGTGTATGACTGCCTGTGACTATATGTGTGACTGTCTGAATTTGACTGTGTGCGTGTGACTGTCTGCTTGTAACTGTGTGTGACTGTCTGCCTGTAACTGTGTGTGAGGGGGTGCAGGGATTTTGTAGAAGGGGGCAGGGGTTTTAAAAAGTTTACAAATTTGTTCAATACATTTTTTTTAAAAATGTAAAAATTATAACACATTTTAAAAATTTAGTAGGTTTTTTTTTTTGGGAGAAGGGGGGGTAGAGGGGGGCTGCCAAACCCAGAACACGCCCCAGGTGCCACATGCCCTAGGTACGCCCCTGCAAGGGGACACTGGGAGACATGGAGACACAGACATTTGGTAACACTGGGAGAAATGGGGTCACAGACACTAGGGACACAGATACTGGGAGACATGGGGTCACAGATATTTAGGGAAACTAAGACAATAGGGACACTGAGAGCCATGGGGACACAGACACTGGGAGACTAGGGGACACTGGGACACTAGGGACACTGGCTGGGAGGCTTTGGGACACTGGAAGACATGGGGGCACTTGTGGACATAGACATGGGGACACTGAGAGACATGGGGACACAGACATTTGGGGACACTGGGAGACATGGGACACTAGGGACTCAGAGACATGGGGACAAAGACACTGGTAGACATGGGGTCGCATACACTAGGGACAAAGAGACATGGGGACACAGACACTGGGAGACATGGGGACACAGACATTTGGGGAAACTAAGACACCAGGGACACAGAGACATGGGAACACAGACACTGGGAGATTCGGGGACACAGAGACATGGGTACACTGAGACACTGACTGGGAGGCATGGGGACACAGACACTTGTGAGCATAGACATGGGGACACTGGGAGACATGGGGACACTAGGGACACAGAGACATGGGGACACAGACACTAGGGACACTGGCTGGGAGATATAGGGATACTGGGAGACATGGGGACACTGAGACATTGACTGGGAGACATGGAGACACTGTGTCCCTAGTGTCTCAATGTGTCTACCTATGTCTCACAGCGTCCCCATGTCTCACAGCATCCCCATGTCTCACAGTGTCCCCTAGTGTCTCAGTGTCCCCTAGTGTCTCAGTGTCCTCATGTCTCCCTGCTGCCTTTTCCCCAATACTTCACATACCTGAGCTGTAGTCTGTCTCTGCAGGCTGGGAGCTGCTGTCTGGACTCTCTGTGATGTGTAACTGCTCCCCCGCGGATCAGGGAGTAGAGAGAGGCAGGGAGATGCTGTAGCTTCATATCCCTGCCCCTCTCCATACACAGTGACCCCTACTGGCCGGTGCTGGTATTGCAGAGTAATCTTTGTGACAGACTATCCAGAAATGTAATAATGAGCTTGGAGTGGGCAGGTATCAGACTTTGTTACAGAAGTACAGGGGCTGGAAAGTTTGGAAATCAGGCTGTGGAAGAAAGGTATGTGAGGGTCAGAATGGCCTGCAATAAAGCTGAGGGAGGGGGATATGCACAAATTTGAAAGGGTTAGACGAGGAGGACTTGAATGGGCTGCAGACAAGAAACTGCAGTTTTTACAAGCTGTTTAAAAAAAAACAAAAACAAAAAAACCTAATCAATTGCATGCATGTTTTAATTGGGAGGTATAGATGTATAGATACTATATAGTGATTTAAAAATATATATTATTATTTAGGCAGTGGTGTGTTCCTTTAAAGACATAACTGCATATCGTGTAGATTAAGGAAAATAATAGGCACATATAGTTATAAGTGTCCATCATAAACCTTTACTACTCTTCATGTACTATCTTCGCCGAAAGAGCTATAGTCTCGCTACCGGGTTTCTAACAGAAAGTAAGTTGAGGGATTTCAATTAGAAGTAAATCATTTTCTCAGTAAGGAATAGAGCAGTGACACAATGTGTCTGGTTAATATTCTTACCACATTGTATCCATAGTAAAAAAAAAGGAATTATATATATTTAACAATACATTCATTTGTCATTTAGGAGCTGACATCTCCCCGTCTTATCAAGAGTCACCTCCCGTACCCATTCCTGCCTTCGGATCTACACAATGGAAATTCCAAGGTAACACTGAGCTATCTGACGGTAATTACCACGCTGTGAATTAATATACTATATTTGCTTCATAAAGTGTGTTATTTTTGTACTTTTAGGTTATATATATGGCTCGTAACCCCAAGGACCTTGTGGTGTCTTACTATCAGTTCCACCGCTCTTTGAGGACCATGAGTTATAGAGGAACCTTCCAGGAGTTTTGTAGGCGATTCATGAATGACAAGTGTAAGAATCTAATTATTGTATATGTATGGGGTCACTGAAAATATCTCTGAAATGAACTTGAACTAATTTAATTAATGTGTTTAATGATGGTTTCATTTTTAATTCATTTTTAAATTTAATACAAGAGGTTTGTCAGATCTAAACGTTCCTTTTGGTTCCATATTTCTGAACCTGTTATAGGGCAGATTATAAACACGTTAAAGGATATGTAATATGCAACCAATTACAGAGCTCCCGACAGTCCCGATTTCACTGGGACAATGCCTATTTCAGGGTCCTGTCACAATAACCGGACTTTGTTCCCTGGAGTTTTTTTCCTGCTTTTGTGGACACCAGGGGATTGTCCCAAGTATTTGTAACGCAAGCACATTGTTTTACGTGCTCACACTATTTAAAGGCACTAGTGCCAAACAGAATGCGCTGAAACGGCACTCTCTACATAGTCCACCCTTAGTGGGCTGGCCAGTGTTATTTACAGTAGCCGTCTGGTGTTCAGTCATGCCAGCCTGTTCTGCTTGTTTTTTGGCGGGGTCAGTGATGCGATTCTTGTCACTGGCAGCTCCCCGTCACACTGCCCACCTGTGTCCCGTTTCATGGAACGTCAATTTTGTGGGTTATGTAATTAGCATAAGGAGGCCAGGTGTCTTATGGGAAACAAAATGTCCCCATGCCAAGACATGTGACATAAATGCAAATGTTATTAAAGGAGAACTGTTGTAAGCATGTTTTATTATAGTATTATTAACAGTTACATGCCACCTTTGTGTGTATTATATTGGAATGTGTTTATATAAGTAAGGCAGTCAACTCCCGGCTTACAGTCCCTCTGTATAGGTGGCCATCTTTAATTCCTCTTTGGTCAGAATCACGCTATATCTGACCAAACATCATGCAGGTAATGGAAAGCTAGTGAGCTTTAAATGTTGACCTCATTAGCAAGTGGAGGATATTTAAAAATGCTTTCTGAGTATAAATCATACAAAATGTGCACAGTCTTTGTCAGATAAGTGGAATTTATGATTAAAGAGGTCTTAAAGATGGCTGCCCCCTCAGAGCCCTGAAAATATTTATTTTTATTTTTATATATTTACTGCAAAATAATACACAGTTGCTCTGTTACATGTAATCAAAATAATTGTTGCAATAATAAAAAAATGACAGTTTTTCCTTTACAAACTCTTACATAGCAATTGCGTTTGATAAATATTATCTTCATAAATAGACAATTTTTATGCTTTGTTGAACAATGTGATCAGTTTGTTAGGTAAAAGGTGAACCATAACTATGATTTAATTTCTATAACTCGGTTAAACCTGGTTTTAATATTTGTGTACACAGTAGGTTATGGGTCATGGTTTGAACATGTCCAGGAATTTTGGGATCACCACTTGGATTCCAATGTACTTTTCCTAAAGTATGAAGACATGCACAAGGTGAGAACCAACCCTCAAACTACCCTGTGACTCTGTCAATGTCAAACACGCCATTTAGTTGGTTTTCCACCATTTGAAATCCCTCCTAATTTACATACTCACCCCTCACTCTTTAATTCTACCACCTCAGGGCATTTAAGGCAGGGCTTGTCTGCACCTCAAAGTACAGTAAGAAGCAGAGAGTTGAGCACAGACCAGGAGAGGGAATAATTAGGCAAGACGACACAAAGCAAAGTTTACAGTAATGAAAAAAAATTCCTTAATGATTAATATATATCTATAATTATTTGACAATTTAAAGAATAGTTATATTTCAAACAGATTTTATATAGCGAGTGCAAAGCACTTTAGAATTTAAAGGCACACTGTAGAAACTATAAACATTTTATCTAATTGAAGTAGTTATGGTGCCTGGAGTCCTGTGGTGTTGCTCCTTCATTCAGCTTGAAACCATTTTCGAGCGGTTTAACACTAAATGAGGGTCCCTGGCCACCCAAAGTCCGGCCCCAACAAGAGGCGTGGCTAAGGCAGAGATTACACACTTCCTTCTAGCCATACCAATTCATACCAACAATGGGCCCTGCAATAGGCTGAAGGCGGTCAGATGACACTCTCTGCCAATCACAACCACTCCATTGCTGTTCAGGCTAATGCTTCCTCATTAGCCCGAGCAGTATAGAGGGGATGGGCAGCTGAGGACTCTCTTTAATATAAAAAAATTTAAAATGGTTAAGAGTTGAATAGAAGGAAAGAAACAAGGAACTCCAGACTTTAGAACTAGTTCAATGATATGAAGTTACTGTTCCTACAGTGTCCATTTAAGGAACACTCTGGTTACCAACATAACCCAAAAGTTGTGGTTTTCTCCTTCCTCAAATCTCTTCAGTTTTGTTTAAACCCCTTTCCCCTAAAATGAAAAAAGGTTTTGAATCTTTCTGCAGCTTTCTTACACAAAGCAACATCTTTATTAGATGTGTTCTGGGTAGGGACTCAGATTGTGTTGTTATTAGTACTTAGTATTTCAAAGCTATTCTATATGGGGTACAAATAAAGAGCACAGTGATTGGCTGTGGAGTGATTTCAGCAGCTCAGCTCCTCGGTACGTAATGAAACTACATATAATAATGATCTGTATAATGGCATCTCTACTATTATTTAGATGTCTAATTCTTTATTGTCATCAGCAATTGTCCCATTCATATTTAATCTGGGTCAGTTTAATTAAGATTTATAGTCATGTGACTATAGAAGGTTGCAAAAGACTTTGTTACCATAGCAGCAGATACTGAGATACAGAGAAACAGGCCCGGCCCTGAATAAATTGACTGAGATTTTAGATAAAAAAAAATTACATGGCAGGTATATTGAGATTAATTGTACACTTCACCTCAACAATTCAATTTAAAAAATAGTGGAATAATTAAAAATGTATGTTCACTCATAACTGAATGTTATTAAATGTTTTACAGTATAATAAATTAATGTCTAATAATTGAAGATTATGCTAGCTTTAGTGTACCTATAATCTTAATTTTAGTAATGACAGGAGGCGAGTATTTTGCATTAAACTCTCTTTACTAACTCACACAGCAGTAAAGAAAAGTGAAAACATTAACCAATCAAAATGCAATAGGAAGCATAGTATTCACAGAGATAAGGCTCCTCCCCCTCTTTCTAATGCGACATCATGAATACAGGTCCAAAGAGTCCAAAGTTCCATAACAGGCGCCAACGGGCGATAATCCAAAATGAAGGTTGAACAGGCGAAGTCGTCAAGGAGTCGGTCCTGATAATGAGCTGTAAAGCCACGGAATTACACTGAAAGAGAACGTGACATAGGTTAGGAACCGATCTGGAGACTAATTGAATTAAAGGTAACAGCCCATGATTAGTTACAGTAATAACATATAACTGAAAATAACAATAACAGAATACCACGTATGAGAAAATGATCAAGGCTAACGCCAATAAAAGTCCAGAGTGAGCAAACACAAACAGAGACTGAAGCATGCAGAGTCAAACATACTTACGTGAGCCTTATCTTCCAAGGGAGGGATGGGCGGGAAAATACTCGCCTCCTGTCATTACTAAAATTAAGATTATAGGTACACTAAAGCTAGCATAATCTTCAATTTTACCACATGACAGGAGGCTTCATATTTTGCATTTTTAACGCTGATGTAGGAGAGATGAGGCTGCTCCCGAGTTCGGGCGGAAGTAAAATGTCCGAAAGGTAGATTCTCGCGACCAATCCGCCGAGCGTCGGATATCTGTCAGAGAGGCACCCGCCGAGAAGGCCGAAGAAGCCGCCGCTCCGCGGACGGAGTGAGCTCCGAAAGTCTCGTCCACTCCTGCCAATGATAGAATCCATCTTATCCACCTGGCGAGGGTAGTGACCGAGACTGGCACGTGTGGCCTAGCATAAGATACTAGCAGTTGACCCGAGGAGGAGACCCTGAGAGGGGATGTGACCTCCACATACCGACGTAGGGTAGCCACCACGCAGAGCTGTGGGTCAGATGGGAAAAACGGATAAAAGACCGACGTAGAGTCCGACTTCGTCCGACGTGAAACTCGAAAGGTAACTCCCTCTGGTGAGACCGAAAAGGCGTTGAAGTCGAAAGCACGGACGTCCGAGACCCGGCGGAACGAGACAAGGCAGAGTAGGAGCGTAAGTTTTGCCGAGAGTTGTCGTAGGGATAGTCTGCCGTTGTCCGGCCAATCCCTTAGGAATTGTAGGACGACTTCGACGTCCCATAAGCGAGAGTATTTGGGTTGAGGGGGTCTCTGCAACCGAACGCCCCTCAGGAGTCTGCAGACCATGGGGTCTTTGCCTACAGGGATTCCCATAACCGGGTCGTGCGCCGCCGAAATCGCGGATCGGACAACGTTGAGAGAGCGATAAGACCGGCCCACGGAAAAAAGAAAGGAAAGAAAATTCAAAATGGCCGTCACAGGGGCAGTAAAGGGATCGATGTTCCGTTCACTGCACCAAGAGGACCAGGAAGACCAAGCTGATAGGTAACATCGCCTGGTACCTGGAGCCCATGAGTCCCAAATGAGATCTCTAGCTGCCTGCGATAACTCGCTGGTTTGCCAGGCACCCCTGAAAGAGTCCAAGCCACTAACACGAGACGGTCTTCCAGAACGAGAGGATGAGGGTTGTCTTTCGGGTCCGTGAGGAGTGTTGGATAGGATGGTATGAGGAGCGGATCCATGAAGGACGATGCCAGGAGGTCCGGGAACCAGGGTTGGCTCTGCCATAGGGGAGCTATGAGGAGAAGAGACCCTCGTTGGGTCTTCAGGTACTGAATCGTCCTTGCTATCATGGCGAACGGGGGAAAGGCGTAGGCTCCTCTGGGCGGCCATGGTTGGAGGAATGCGTCCACCGCCATGCTCTCTGGGTCCGGGAGCCAGCTGAAGTAGTTGGGCGTCTGCTTGTTGGTGCGTGACGCAAACAGATCCAGGTGAAGGGGACCCCTCCTGCGCGATAGACACTGGAAGATCTGCGGGTCCAGTCTCCAGTCGCTGCTGTCTCGCCAGTGGTGTGAGAACCAATCTGCAGTCAGGTTCGTCTCTCCCGTGAGATACTCTGCGATGAGGGAGATGTTGCGTGGTAGGCAGAAGTCGAAGATCCGTTTCGTTATTTCCGAGAGGAGTCGGGATCGTGCACCTCCCAAGCTGTTGATGTAGCGGACCGCAGATATGTTGTCCATCCGGAGGAGAATGCAACAGTTCGACTTGTTTCCTGTTAGGCTGCGGATCGCGAACGAACCGGCCAGGAGTTCCAGACAATTTATGTGGAGGTTGAGGTCTTGGAAGCTCCAAGCACCTCCTGTCGACCTGCCTTTGCAAGTCGCGCCCCAGCCCCAGAGGCTCGCGTCTGATTCCAGGACTGTGTCGGGTGAACTCCCGAAAATGGCACGCCCGTTCCATGCCTCCATGCTGTCCAACCACCAGCTGAGTTCTTGTTTGACTTCCTCCGTCACTGGGATGGTCTGATCGTAGGAAGGGTTCTGGCGAAGGAAGGACGTCTTCAGGCGCTGCATCGCTCTGTAGTGGAGCGGACCCGGGAAAATTGCCTGGATGGAAGCGGATAGTAGGCCTACAATTCGCGCCAAGGTGCGGAGTGGAATGGAGTGGCAACGGAGGACCCGGCGGAGTTCCTTCTTGATGGCTGTGATTTTTGAAGTTGGCAGCCGTAGCGTGCTGGACGTGGAGTCTATCTCGAAGCCCAAGAATTGTATGGTCTGGGCTGGAGAGATTGCCGACTTCTGGTGATTCACCACAAATCCCAGGGACGTTAGGAATCGGATGGCATATTGCGTGTGTAGAGTCAGTCTGGATTTGTCTGAGCAAAAGAGAAGCAGGTCGTCCAGGTAGATAATGCAACGAATGCCTTGTGCTCGTAGATGTGCAACTACCGGTTTTAGCAGCTTGGTGAAGCACCATGGGGCTGAGCTGAGGCCGAATGGAAGGCATGTGAACTGCCACGGAAGGCCGTTCCAATGAAACCTGAGGAACTGTCGGCATGAGACGTGGACGGGTACTGACAAGTACGCGTCCTTGAGGTCCAATCTCGTGAACCAGTCCCCGTCTTGAAGGAGGTCTCTTAGAAGGTGGATGCCTTCCATTTTGAAATGTCGGTACATCACGTATGCGTTTAGCTGCCTTAGATTTATGACTGGTCTGAATTCTCCCGTTTTCTTTTTGACCAGGAAGATATTGCTGAAGAAACCCCCTCCGTTTGGAGCGGATTCGATCGCCCCTTTCCTTCGGAGGTCCTGCAGTTCGCCGTCGATGAGTCGGCGGTCCTCCGCTGAGCATCGTGTAGCGTGTGGGGAAATAGTCTGGCGCGGGATGTCCACGAAATCGATGATGTATCCTCGCACCGTCTGGTGGATCCAAGCGTCCGTGGAGATGGTGGTCCAGGTCTGAAAATATAGAGCGATACGACCAGCAGTACGAGGGGAAAATGTTACGGGATTCAAAAGGCTGCTTACTTGTGGGGAAGCGTGCTCTGCCACGACCACGTGGTCCTCTGCCTCGGTCGGCTCCTCTGGTATAGGAGAAGGGTTGTCTGAAGCCAACTTCTGGGTAGAAGGGCTGAGGTCTGTGGGAACGGGCGCCTGTGGGCCAGAAGCGGCTGGCAGCACGGCCCCTATGGCGGCCAGCCCGTCCAAAAACACCCCGACTGGGGTAGCCCCTGAAGACTCGCTTCATTGAAGACTGAGCTTTATTCAGGGATGTGAATATGTTAACGTGCTTGTTGAGTTCTTTCAAGAAAGCTTCACCAAACAACTTGCCCTGTGCCAGCGGTCCTAACTCCTTGGTGCCCAATTCCACCAGCTTACCGTCAATGCGGAGCAATGCTGCTTTACGCCTCTCAGAGGAGAGGGCAACGTTGGTGTTACCAACAAAACAGAAGCACCTGTGTGCCCATTCCCTTATATCATGAGCCCATTCTTTTACCATGCTGGTATCAAACTGGTCAGCTCGTTGAAAGACGTCATCCGCCAAATACATGATGCGGGCAAGTGGGCCAATGGAGTCCAGCAACTTGTCCTGGACTCCGTGGAATCCTTTTTCCACGCCTCTTCGGGGGTCACGGCTGCCTCGAGACATGAATGTGGTCATGACCTGGTCGAATTCGGGTGTCTGAGCCACATGATCGGGGAGTGAAGGGCGAGGACATTCGGAGCGAAGGCGGTTGCGCACCGTCTTGTCCAGTGGTTTGCGGAGCCACCGGTGCATAAACTTGGAGAGGTGATCGGGCGGAGTCCAGTCCGCCGAGCGTGGGTGTCGTATATTACGAGGGTCAAAGAGGCGTTGTCCAGTAGGGTCCAGGATGGCCTCCCCTTCTTCCTGGGCAGATGCGAGGTCATCTGGTAGTTGTATGTCATCCAGGAACGTGCCTCGTAAGAAACCGGTATGGGATCCGGTGTCCGAGCCCCACTCGTCGTCATGTGAGTCGGAATCCGCAGCCTTCCACTCGTCCAGTATAGCCAAGGAGTGCGAGTGGTCTTCCCCCTCATCCGAGGAGTAACCGTGGTGAGGGGCGGGGCAGGTCGGGTTAGCTTATGGCGTTTAGTTGGAGCCTTGCCTTTGCCCGGGACAACAGCCCCCTTTTCGCCCTTCCAGTGGCGATTAGTAGGCCGCGGGTCGGCTTGTGTCTGTGATTCAGAAGCCTCAGAATCATAGTCATGGGGTGTGGCTTTAGTGGAAGACCTGGTGAGATCGGCTGATGCCGTCATGACCCTGGAAAGTGCTTTCTCCATAGATGCGGAGATGGCCTCAGAAATCATAGTCTGAAAATCTGCCGGGTTTTCGGAAGATTCCATGGTGTTTAGGAGTAGGACCGAATAGGTAGTCTTGTGGCACAGGGTGTACGTAGGGCTAGGGGTCAGGCAGCGGTGTTGCACACAGGCAATTATGGTATCAGTGATACCTATAGAACCCCAGCAGGGTATAAGTATATAAATTAAATCTGTAGGAACCCCAGCAGGGTGGACATGTACAGATCAAGTATGTGGTATAAGAATACCAGCTTCCCCAGCAGGGTAGATTGGGATTTTTTTCACTGGGCTACACCCAGGTATGTGTATGTATGAGGATGGCACAAAATCCACCTATTACAGGGCTCAAACTGACAATACACATATAGGTGGCACAAAATCCACCTAAAGCAGCAATACTGAAAGGGCCTCACCCAGTTAAATATATATATACAGGAAGGTGGCACAGAATCCACCTAATATAAAAGAAATGATAGTGGTCCGCCACTGTATGGGACTGACAGTCCTTAAGGGAGGTTAGGTAGCCAGAAAACTAACCTGCTGCCCCTGCCTGAATAGTGTGTGGCAATATCGTGGTCGGGAGCCAAAATAACGAAGACCGCGGGTCTCCCAAGATGGCGGCCGGAACTCTCACGAGACGCGAGATCCAATATGGCCGCCGGAGAGACGGGAAAGGGGTTTCCCGCCGTGCCGGCCAGTGATTGCGGCTGAGAGGCCGCGAGGAGAACGGTGAGAGTGGAGGGTGAGCGTTACCCTCAAGGACAAAAACCAACGATCCGATCTCAGGGAAGTGAGGTCGGAGAGTGTCACGAAAGGGCAAATGGAAAGATAATAATAACAATAAGGAGAATAAAATACAATAGGCAAATAGAATAAATATAAATGTAGGTCAGAGGAAAGATGGCAGAATACAAATATAAGTCCCTGAGGGCAGGGAGGGAAAGCAGCAGGGAAGAATCCCTGGGAGGAGATAGTACAAAGTAAAAGGGGGGAACAGAAAGTCCTAAGATAGATATGGAAGAAAAAACCCCATAAATAAACATCCATAGATAATGAGAAATCATAAAGGTAACATAATACAATACAATTAGGGAAGAGCCAAAAACTCTGACCTGTCTGCTGATGGAGCAGTAAAAAAAGAGGGGGAGGAGCCTTATCTCTGTGAATACTATGCTTCCTATTGCATTTTGATTGGTTAATGTTTTCACTTTTCTTTACTGCTGTGTGAGTTAGTAAAGAGAGTTTAATGCAAAATATGAAGCCTCCTGTCATGTGGTAAAATTCCTCTACACAAACCCGTCTTTCCTATAAAGTATTCAGTAGGCCATTTCATGACTTCCTATTGGAATATTCAGAGACCTTTTCTTTCAGGATCTCGGAACGATGGTGGAGCAGTTGGTGAGATTTCTAGGAGTGTCATATGACAAGGCACAGTTGGAGTCCACAGTGGAACACTGCCACCAACTGATTGACCAGTGCTGCAATGCAGAGGCACTTCATGTGGGTCGAGGTACATAAAGTATCATTTGTCCTCTTGTATCTATTGAATATCATTAGTTCGTACCATTATTACAGGAGTGTACCCCCATACAGGATCCCACGGGACTCCAGACAGGTTACTAATTTGGCCACTTTCCTTGATTCTACACATAGAGATGAGTACTGGGGCTGTGATGAAATGCCACTGGGGATGTAGGTCTACCAGCGAAGACCATTAGAAAAACCAGGGGTCAAGCTACAGCTACCCCAGCTGGGTTCTCCCATCTCCCAGGAAGGTATTGTCCCCTCTGCCCACTCCTCCATCCCCCAGGCAGGTATCGTCCCCTCTGTCCGTGCTTCCATCCCCCAGGCAGGTATCGTCCCGGCGTGCTCCTTCATCTCCAAAGCAGGTATCGTCCCCTCTGCCCGTGCCTCCATCTCCCAGGCAGATATCGTCCCCTCTGTCTATGCCTCCATCTCCAAGCACATATCGTCCCCTCTGCCCGCTCCTCCATCTCCCATGCAGGTGTTGTCCCCATCTCCTCTGCCTGTGCGTCTGTCTCCCAGGCAGGTGTTGTCCCCTCTGCCCACTCCTTCATTTACCAGACAGGTATTGAACCCTCTGTCCATGCCTCCATCTCCCAGGCAGGTATCTATCTCTCTGCCCGTACCTCCATCTCCCAGGCAGGTATCGATCTCTCTGCCCGTACCTCCATCTCCCAGGCAGGTATCGTCCCCTCTGCTTGCTCCTCCATCTCCTAGGCAGGTATCGTCCCCTCTGCTTGCTCATTTATCTCCCAGGCAGGTATCATCCCCTCTGCCCGCTCCTCCAACTCCCAGGCAGGTATCGTCCCCTCTGTCCGCTCCTCCAACTCCCAGGCAGGTATCGTCCCCTCTGTCCATGCCTCCATCTCCCAGGCAGGTATCGTCCCCTCTGCCCATGCCTTCATCTCCCAGGCAGATATCGTCCCCTCTGCCTGTGCCTCCATCTCCCAGGCAGGTGTTAACCCCTGTGCCCGCTCCTCCATCTCCCAGGCAGGAATCATTCCTTCTGCCCGTGTGTCTGTCTCCCAGACAGGTGTTGTCCCCTCTGCTTGCTCCTTCGTCTGCCAGGCAGGTATCGTCCCCTCTGCTTGCTCCTCCATCTTCCAGGCAGGTGTCGTCCCCTCTGCCCACTCTTCCATCTCCCAGGCAGCTATCAATCCCTCTGCCTGTCCATCTCCATCCAACTCCCAGGCAGGTATCGTCCCCTCTGTCCATGCCTCCATCTCCCCAGGTATCGCTCCATGTTATCGTCCCCTCTGCCTGCCTCCATCTCCCAGGCAGGTGTTAACCCCTGTGCCCGCTCCTCCATCTCCCAGGCAGGAATCATTCCTTCTGCCCGTGTGTCTGTCTCCCAGACAGGTGTTGTCCCCTCTGCTTGCTCCTTCGTCTGCCAGGCAGGTATCGTCCCCTCTGCTTGCTCCTCCATCTTCCAGGCAGGTGTCGTCCCCTCTGCCCACTCTTCCATCTCCCAGGCAGCTATCAATCCCTCTGCCTGTATCTCCATCTCCCAGGCAGTTATCGCCTCCTCTGCCCGCTCCTCCATCTCCCAGACAGGTGTCGTCCCCTCTGCCCACTCCTCCATCTCACAGGCAGGTATCAATCCCTCTGTCCCTACCTCCATCTCCCAATATTTCCCCGGGACCATGGTCTTATGCAGCCAACAAGCAGGTCTGAAAACTCTGTTACTGGATCCCTCAACAAACCAAACAGCACACACAGTTCCCAAAGAAACTAACACACATTGCTTTAATTACACTCAGGACTAGCCCCTATCCGCATTACATTGCACTTATTGTGACACACTCAATCCCCTACATACAACATAATTATATGGGGAATCATACAGGCACTCATAACATAATATGATACTTATAAAGAGGTGGGGAAGACAATATCTAACAAGAAATATGTCCCCAGCTTGCATAAGCCAGAATATGTAAATTTACTGGAATATGCAAATTACCCAGCCTTGCTATTCATTTAGTGCACGTAACTGTTGCAACCAACAGGTGGCACTGCACATAGTTGTTGAAGGCTCATTTTCAACCAGCAAGTGGCCCTGCACAGGGCAGACAGGAGATTACACGAGAAACCAAGAGGGCTGAGCTCACCTGATACATTATAAGGGTGCTGCTGGGCCAATTTATACAACAACCAACATCCAGTGCACTCACTCAATCACTAAACAGCTACTTGGTTTTGCCTAAACATGGTGTTTAAATTTAATTTTTTTTAAACGATTAAAATCTGTGAGCTTGAAGTTTCTGTTTAGTAAATGAGTGAGTATGCTGGACCTTGTATGTTATAGGAGATTGCACAAGACATTCCCCAAACTACATTACAATACACAGCCCCTGGTCGGGCCCCTGGCAGCCACCTAAGGCCATGTTATGGTTAATCCTGTTCTGTCCACTGTTAGCCCAGCTTGAGCGAGCAGAACGATGTGTCCAAATGTGTCCAATAAATGTCAGTCTGTGATGTCATAAAATGTTTTCTAAAGTAGTAATGAGGAAGCAGCCAACAGATCCTCAGTCACAGATCTCCCAGCTTTCCGAGAATTGACCTTTGGACCACCATGGACAATTATAGACCAATGTATCCACCATTTACACCACAACGTAAATCAATGGGAATTTTTAATGTTCAAATAGAGAAAGTAAGAATAAAAAGCCAATTATGAGCTGCCTGTAGTGTTTTCTCACGCGGGGCCTGAATCTGATCTCAGTAAGAGCCCGGAGATAGAGGTGCTGCCATGGCCACGCTGGGTGTAACTGTGCGCCTGTCTGTACACGTAAACAGCAGGTGTAATGCAGACAGAATGATCTCACCTGTTTGTATTGGGTCCAGTCTGACTGCTCTGTAATAAATGATGAGCACCCAGTAGGTGAAGGTGCACCGTTCCCAGTAAGATTGCCACATCATGTTTAAATGCAGACACCTATGTGTCTGTGTCAGGGCTGTATTAGTTAAAGTATCCAGGCTCCTACGTTCAATACTGATTTGACCCCATTAGTATCTAGTGTGGGGTGCAGCCTTGGTTTATGTATTTATTTGATTTTATACCTTTTATTCCTTCACAACTCTATGCACCGTGTAAAGGTGGATTATACAAACAAAAAGTGTGTGTACAAGATTTATTTCAGGGATTGTTATAAACACAATTTTATAAAGAGCTATACAGGTAATGTCTGTCCTCATGTTAAACCCATTAATGCCAAAAAAAGGTATCAGTGTGCAAACTCCATTACCTCAATTTCCTAATTTGGGTTTCAATTCACCACAATTTGGTGTTTAGTGAATAGACCCCAATGTATATTGAGATGTTAGAATATAAATCTGTGCGATAAGTAAATGAAATTAGCACTTTGTAGCATTAAAACTGACATTTAGTACCTATATATATTTATTTTTTATATAATTTTCAAATTTTTCATTTGTTACTTCAAAATAACAGGCGTAAATCTGTTTCACATCTCTTTAAGTCGCTAGTCGTCCTATATTATATATTCCTCGAAGGTAAATGACACAAACAGCTGTGCATGTACTAAATGACCGAATATCCAGCAATCTAAGAGCTGTGACAGCATGGTGGAATAGACACCTAGCAGTAATCTAAACACAGCATGGCAGAGGTAACACACAACGCTGTGCACGTAGTAAAATATTATCATCAAATTAATAACATTTCACAATGCAAAGATTGAGGTAGGGCTGAGATAGAACCCTTTTAATATAATTGTGTGGTATGATATATCACACTCCTATACTTAAAAAAAAACCAAAAAGAGAATATCAACTTAAAAATACAGAATAATCAACTGAGTTTTTTTATGTGTTTTTATTCAAGGCTGACATTCTTGTTTAAAATATGTTATTGATTTGTTGTGCATTTTTCCATGTGTTTTTTTTTTTTATTATGTTTTTTTTTTAATGATTATATTTTTTATGTTGTCTATTTTTATTTATTTTGGTTTTTTCAGTTTCATCTTTTGTTTCCTTTTAGTACATTGGTTGTTTTCATTCAGAGCAAGCGCTCAGACAGGTGACTGACATGTAATGCATGACTCTCAGTGACAGGAACGCCAGGTGCCAGGTGGGTGTCTGTTCTAAGGATGCTAATTCTGCTCCTCCTATTAGAACAAGGAATTTAGGCTGTCGAAGGGGGATGCTCTATCTATATTTTAAGTATTGTATTCAATTTAGATGTTTGGATGACGAGGGTTGGGTGGCAGTCTATCCATATTGGAGATATTATGGAAGTTCTAGGTAATGGATGAGGAGGGGTGGATGGCAGTCTATCCATATTGGAGATATTATGGAAGTTCTAGGTAATGGATGAGGAGGGGTGGATGGCAGTCTATCCATATTGGAGATATTATGGAAGTTCTAGGTAATGGATGAGGAGGGGTGGATGACAGTCTATCCATATTGGAGATATTATGGAAGTTCTAGGTAATGGATGAGGAGGGGTGGATGGCAGTCTATCCATATTGGAGATATTATGGAAGTTCTAGGTAATGGATGAGGAGGGGTGGATGGCAGTCTATCCATATTGGAGATATTATGGAAGTTCTAGGTAATGGATGAGGAGGGGTGGATGGCAGTCTATCCATACTGGAGATATTATGGAAGTTCTAGGTAATGGATGAGGAGGGGTGGATGACAGTCTATCCATATTGGAGATATTATGGAAGTTCTAGGTAATGGGTGAGGGGTAGATGGCAGTATCCATATTGGAGATATTATGGAAGTTCTAGGTAATGGGTGAGGGGTGGATGGCAGTATCCATATTGGAGATATTAAGGAAGTTCTAGGTAATGGGTGAGGGGTGGATGGCAGTATCCATATTGGAGATATTATGGAAGTTCTAGGTAATGGGTGAGGGGTGGATGGCAGTCTATCCATACTGGAGATATTATGGAAGTTCTAGGTAATGGGTGAGGGGTGGATGGCAGTATCCATATTGGAGATATTATGGAAGTTCTAGGTAATGGATGGTCGATGGCAGTCTATCCATATTGGAGATATTATGGAAGTTCTAGGTAATGGATGAGGAGGGGTGGATGGCAGTCTATCCATACTGGAGATATTATGGAAGTTCTAGGTAATGGATGAGGAGGGGTGGAGGGCAGTCTATCCATACTGGAGATATTATGGAAGTTCTAGGTAATGGGTGAGGGGTAGATGGCAGTATCCATATTGGAGATATTATGGAAGTTCTAGGTAATGGGTGAGGAGGGGTGGATGGCAGTCTATCCATACTGGAGATATTATGGAAGTTCTAGGTAATGGATGAGGAGGGGTGGATGACAGTCTATCCATATTGGAGATATTATGGAAGTTCTAGGTAATGGATGAGGAGGGGTGGATGGCAGTCTATCCATATTGGAGATATTATGGAAGTTCTAGGTAATGGATGAGGAGGGGTGGATGGCAGTCTATCCATATTGGAGATATTATGGAAGTTCTAGGTAATGGATGAGGAGGGGTGGATGGCAGTCTATCCATACTGGAGATATTATGGAAGTTCTAGGTAATGGATGAGGAGGGGTGGATGACAGTCTATCCATATTGGAGATATTATGGAAGTTCTAGGTAATGGGTGAGGGGTAGATGGCAGTATCCATATTGGAGATATTATGGAAGTTCTAGGTAATGGGTGAGGGGTGGATGGCAGTATCCATATTGGAGATATTAAGGAGTTCTAGGTAATGGGTGAGGGGTGGATGGCAGTATCCATATTGGAGATATTATGGAAGTTCTAGGTGATGGGTGAGGGGTGGATGGCAGTCTATCCATACTGGAGATATTATGGAAGTTCTAGGTAATGGGTGAGGGGTGGATGGCAGTATCCATATTGGAGATATTATGGAAGTTCTAGGTAATGGATGGTCGATGGCAGTCTATCCATATTGGAGATATTATGGAAGTTCTAGGTAATGGATGAGGAGGGGTGGATGGCAGTCTATCCATACTGGAGATATTATGGAAGTTCTAGGTAATGGATGAGGAGGGGTGGATGGCAGTCTATCCATACTGGAGATATTATGGAAGTTCTAGGTAATGGATGAGGAGGGGTGGATGGCAGTCTATCCATAGTGGAGATATTATGGAAGTTCTAGGTAATGGGTGAGGGGTGGATGGCAGTATCCATCCTGGAGATATTATGGAAGTTCTAGGTAATGGGTGAGGGGTGGATGGCAGTATCCATATTGGAGATATTATGGAAGTTCTAGGTAATGGTGAGGGGTGGATGGCAGCACCATATTGGAGATATTATGGAAGTTCTGAGGTAATGGGTGAGGGGTGGATGGCAGCATCCACATTGGAGATATTATGGAAGTTCTAGGTAATGTAAGTGAGGGGTGGATTAAAATTCATCCATACTGAGATATTATGGAAAGCCCAGGGTAATGGGTGAGGGTGGATGGCAGCTATCCATATTGGAGATATTATGGAAGTTCTAGGTAATGGATGGTGGATGGCAGTCTATCCATATTGGAGATATTATGGAAGTTCTAGGTAATGGATGAGGAGGGGTGGATGGGAGTCTATCCATACTGGAGATATTATGGAAGTTCTAGGTAATGGATGAGGAGGGGTGGAGGGCAGTCTATCCATACTGGAGATATTATGGAAGTTCTAGGTAATGGATGAGGAGGGGTGGATGGCAGTCTATCCAAAGTGGAGATATTATGGAAGTTCTAGGTAATGGGTGAGGGGTGGATGGCAGTATCCATATTGGAGATATTATGGAAGTTCTAGGTAATGGGTGAGGGGTGGATGGCAGTATCCATATTGGAGATATTATGGAATTTCTACGTAATGGGTGAGGGGTGGATGGCAGTATCCATATTGGAGATATTATGGAAGTTCTAGGTAGTGGATGGCAGTCTATCCATATTGGAGATATTATGGAAGTTATAGGTAATGGATGAGGAGGGGTGGATGGCAGTCTATCCATACTGGAGATATTATGGAAGTTCTAGGTAATAGGTGAGGGGTGGATGGCAGTATCCATATTGGAGATATTATGGAAGTTCTAGGTAATGGGTGAGGGGTGGATGGCAGTATCCATATTGGAGATATTATGGAAGTTCTACGTAATGGGTGAGGGGTGGATGGCAGTATCCATATTATGGAAGTTCTAGGTAATGGATGGTGGATGGCAGTCTATCCATATTGGAGATATTATGGAAGTTCTAGGTAATGGATGAGGAGGGGTGGAGGGCAATCTATCCATACTGGAGATATTATGGAAGTTCTAGGTAATGGATGGTGGATGGCAGTCTATCCATACTGGAGATATTATGGAAGTTCTACGTAATGGGTGAGGGGTGGATGGCAGTATCCATATTGGAGATATTATGGAAGTTCTAGGTAGTGGATGGCAGTCTATCCATATTGGAGATATTATGGAAGTTATAGGTAATGGATGAGGAGGGGTGGATGGCAGTCTATCCATACTGGAGATATTATGGAAGTTCTAGGTAATAGGTGAGGGGTGGATGGCAGTATCCATATTGGAGATATTATGGAAGTTCTAGGTAATGGGTGAGGGGTGGATGGCAGTATCCATATTGGAGATATTATGGAAGTTCTACGTAATGGGTGAGGGGTGGATGGCAGTATCCATATTGGAGATATTATGGAAGTTCTAGGTAATGGATGGTGGATGGCAGTCTATCCATATTGGAGATATTATGGAAGTTCTAGGTAATGGATGAGGAGGGGTGGAGGGCAATCTATCCATACTGGAGATATTATGGAAGTTCTAGGTAATGGATGGTGGATGGCAGTCTATCCATACTGGAGATATTATGGAAGTTCTAGGTAATGGGTGAGGGGTGGATGGCAGTATCCATATTGGAGATATTATGGAAGTTCTAGGTAATGGGTGAGGGGTGGATGGCAGTATCCATATTGGAGATATTATGGAAGTTATACGTAATGGGTGAGGGGTGAATGGCAGTATCCATATTGGAGATATTATGGAAGTTCTAGGTAATGGATGGTGGATGGCAGTCTATCCATATTGGAGATATTATGGAAGTTCTAGGTAATGGATGAGGAGGGGTGGATGGCAGTCTATCCATACTGGAGATATTAGGGAAGTTCTAGGTAATGGATGAGGAGGGGTGGAGGGCAGTCTATCCATACTGGAGATATTATGGAAGTTCTAGGTAATGGGTGAGGGGTGGATGGCAGTATCCATATTGGAGATATTATGGAAGTTCTAGGTAATGGATGGTGGATGGCAGTCTATCCATATTGGAGATATTATGGAAGTTCTAGGTAATGGAAATTTTACAGAAGTTGTCGCTGGAATGTTAAAGTAGATTGGGCAGCATTATACATTTTCCAGATATGATGGATGTTTTGGCAGCACTCTCACTGTGTTTGAGATATGGGAGTATAGCGAGGGTTGGGTGGCACTTTATGCATATTTCAGATATTCCAAGTTCTGGTTGGTGTGAGCAGATGGTCAAGGCAGCATTCAATCCTTATTTGAATTATCATAAAACTTGGCATATCTGCCCCATATTTCTATAGAGACAGAATTTAGTAGTGTATTTTCATGTGATAAACTAGACTTTATTAGAAAAGCAATTGATGCTGCATTAAGGTAGGTCCCATAGTCTGTGCTAGAGCTCGCCCGATAGAATTTTTCAACTAAACATTACTATTTGTATATCCCCATCATCCTCTCTCCATTCCATAGCGATCTGTAAGATTTCATACGTGTTTGCAATAAAGAGTATCTTGTCCATGTTTAACACGTTGTTGGTTTTTCTAATCTGGGATTCGTTAGTATAACTCTTTATTACACACAAACCCCCTTCCCAGGGCCAGATTAAGAGCCCAGTGGGCCTGGTGCTGACAATTATGACGGGCCTAATTACAGAATCATATCAACCAAAAACAGTAAAACACTCCCAGGCGTCATGTATCTGATGGAGATGGTGCTGGAGAGAAAGAAAACAGCAGCTATAAGAAAACACATACCCTAGGCTAATCTCTCTCTAATTTATGTTTTCATCTTTCAAGTAAATCCATAACCCCTAACAGCAGTGTCCAGTCAGGCATGAAGTCAATGGGCATGGTAAAAGGGTGTGCCACTGACACAAATCACGTAACCTGCCAAAAGGGGCGAACATGCCCAAAAAGAGGACATGTCTGCCCAAAGAATTAGAAGGCCAGCCTGACATGAATGCATGCCAGGCTGCCTGCCAATCATGCAGCTCGCCAACTAAGGGCATACTATGCAGACAGCACCCTGAGCTTGGCATAAATGCATCTAATGATGCGCTCACTCAACGCTTTATAAGGACTGTTCCCTAGCACTCGCTGGTCCACTTGTCTCCTTACCTTCTTATTAGCAGGCAGAAGCTCCTGGTATATGGTCTGGGACAGAGAAAAGCTGTATGTAGTGAGTGTAGAAGAAAGGGAACATGCCACAGTGTTAGAGAGACCAAAGTCAGCATTACCTTAAAGGATCACAAGAGGGTCAGGATCACAAACATGAATTCATGACCCTATAGTATTAACACCACCATCTAGCCCCCCTGGGCCCCTCATGCCTCCATACATATAGCAAAATCTTACTATATTCAAGCCTGAAGCTGTAACTCTGCATGCTGTTAGACTCATAAAAACAAGCAGTCTGCTGACATCATTAGAAGTGGTGGCCTGATCCAATCACAGTGCTTCCCCATAGGATTGGCTGAGACTGACAAAGAGGCAGATCAGGGTCAGAGCCAGCATGATTCAAACACAGCCCTGGCCAATCAGCATCTCCTTATAGAGATGAATTGAATTAAAGAATCTCTATGAGGAAAGTTCAGTGTCTGCATGCAGAGGGTGGGGACACTGAATGTTTGGATGCATTTTAGGCAGCCATGACCCAGGAAGGATCTCTAACAGTCATCTAAGGAGTAGTCAGTGAAGTTATCACTAGGCTGTAATGTAAAGACTGCATTTTCTCTGAAAAGACAGTGTTTACAGCAAAAAGCCTGACGGTAATGATTCTACTCACAAGAACAAATTCAATAAGCTGTAGTTGTTCTGGTGACTATAGTGTCCCTTTAACTATATTCATTGTCAGCCAGTCCACACAAGTTTTGTTCCCATACATCCCTCTTAAGTTTCCATACTTAAGTAAGAGTATGTAAAAAGTAGTTAGGGTTGCCACCTTTCTTGGAAAAACATACCTGCCTTACTAATTTGCATAATTAAATATGTATGGGTGACATCACATGATGTAAATCACAAAGAGTGACATAAGAGAAAATTCTGTAAAATCACCAAAAAATGACTTAGTTTGATTCTGCTGTATAGATGGATTCCTCCCAGTGCCCCCATGTCTCCCAGTGCCCCCATGTGTCGATTACTCCAAGTCTCAGTGTTCCTATGTATCAGTGTCTCAGTGCCCCATGTCTCCCAGTGTCCCCTAGTGTCGTGTCCCCGGGTCTTCCAGTGATCCTATGTATCACAGTGTCTCAATGCCCCATGTCTCCCTGTGTCCCCATGTATCCCAGGGTCCCCATGTCACTAGGACACTAGAAAGACAGGGAGATCTGGTGACACGGGGAGACACCAGTGACACTGGGAGACTAGGGGACTCTGGCTGGGACACATGGGGACAATGGGAAAATAGGAGACACTTGAAGACATGGGGACACAGACACCAGGGACACAGACACTAGAGACACTGGCTGGGGGACATGGGGACATTGAGACATGGGGGCACTGGGAGACATGGGGACACCAAGACACCAGGGCCACAGACACTAGGGACACTAGCTTGGAGACATGGGGACATTGTGACACTTGAGGCACTGAGAGACATGGAGGCACTAGGAGACATGGGAACAGTGAGACACTGGCAGACTGGGGGCACTAGGAGACTAGGGGTCACTGAGACACCAGGGACACTGGCTGGGAGACATGGGGACACTGTGTCCCCATGTGTCTGTTTCATAATGTCTCCCAATGTCCCTTAGTGTCTCAGTGAATGTCTCCTTGCAGCCTTTCCCCCCATCCCTTACTTCCCTGAGCTGTAGGCTGTCTCTGCAGGGTGGGAGTTGCTGTCTGGACTCTCTGTAGCTGCACCGCTGCAGATCAGTGAGTATAGATAGGCAGGGAGGGATATGCTGGAACTTCCTATCCCTGCCTGTCTCCACATACACAGTGACCCCTACTGGCCAGTGCTGGTATTGCATAGTAATCTCTTGTTTATACTGAGAAAAATACCAGCATTTATATTGCCAGTATCACTGCAATATTGGCACTAGCCAGGCAGCCTCAAATACTGTCTGTGCCAATAAAATAAAAGCCAGGTGGAATCCCTAAGAGTAGTGTGTGGAAAAAAAAATGTTTTTTTTTTTTTTTTAATCAATGGGCCTATTCCATGGGCCTGGGGCTGCAGCTCCATCAGCCCCTATGTTAATCCGGCCCTGCCCCTTCCCAGGTTCTGGCTTTCTGGGCACTGTAAGTACAAATTATGGAATTGCATTTTCCCCTTGTTTATATTTCTTATTATTTTTACTTTGTTATTTATTTTTCTTGTATTCATTTGTTTTGAGCTGGAAATTATTTTGACTTAGTTTGAAAATTTTATATTTTTACTGCGTGTTTTCTTTTCAACTTCATCCTTAATAACCAATAAGCAAAATATCAAGCAATAAAAAAAATGATATCAGAAATAAAAGGTTCAGAAAAAAGAGAGTTATTCTTATCATTGTCAGCTTACTCAAACCCTTAGCAAATCTATATGTTCCTCTAATGGAAAATGCCATACAGGTCATTACTGTTAGGTCTCCCCTCCTTAAAATCAGGAAAAAGATTTTTACTTACCTGACATCCATTGCCAGGCTATGCTCCCAGCTCTGTTCTTCCACTCCCTTTCTCTACGTCATCTGGCAATTGTGCAGTCCAATCATAGGCTTCTCATAGAAAAAACTGTGATTGGACCGTTTCGCCGGATCAGAGTGCAAGTTATTTCCAGTATATTTAAAAATGTCTATTTAGGTAACATAGGAAGACAGGAGGGAGCACTCACAGGTTGGTAGAGAGAGCTAGTTTCTCCTGGCATTCTCTCTGCCTCCAAGGGGAAGATAATTCTGTCTGCCGGCAGCGTAATAGACTCTGTGTGAAAATATGCACAGAATTCACATTAGGCAGCCCAGAACAGATTTTTGAGCTGTCTAAGTCATGTGTACCGGGGGTGCAACTTGCCCCAACACACAATCAAAAATGACCCTGGATGTGCAAGCTGAAACACAGCACATTAATACTCCTATCACCATGACCACACTAAAGTGGTCATGGTGGTTGGAGTAACCCTTTAAACTGAGAAATATGAATCAGTTTGTCAATTTAAAAAATATTTCTTGTATAGTTAATGTCATTTAATAGAAAAACATACTTTACTTCTCAGCAATTGATCTTGTATTTTTATTATTTTGTTTTTTTGTGCAGGAAGAGTAGGACTGTGGAAGGATATATTTACTGTCACAATGAATGAAAAATTCGACCTGGTGTACAAGCAGAGAATGGGAAAATCTGACCTCACCTTTGACTTCAACTTATAAAGTGAAAATGCATGCAGAGAAATGGCCACATACCACTAGGTAGAGAATATCGCCTCTGTTCATACCTTGCTGCACAATATACTGTAATTATCCTGTGTAATATTCTCGTCCCGGGAACGATCTCGGGCAAACGCTTGTTTATCAGTATTTCATTTTTATTTGCAAATAACCCTTGCAGTGCTGCAGCAATTAAGGCACTGCTGGGCCCCCGTTTGGTGTAGACGGAATTCAGACCCATCAGCGCTGGTTAACTCTGGCCACAGTTAATGAAGGCACACAGATGTTTGGCGGATCTGTTGGAGAAAGGGTTAACAATCCTAATGTATATGGTATGTGTGACGCAGTTTGTACACGCTCTCTTGGCGTAACGTTCGGTGTGTTTTATAGCGCTTCTAAACAGAGATTGAAAAAACTTTGATATATACTTAGTGACGGCATGGGAGGTCTGTGACCAGCCCGTGCGGAGTTCTACGTGTTAGATGAATCTCAGGGCTTTATTGTAATGTTGGTTGTATTGTTTGTGTCATAAATCAATGCAAATAAAATCCTAATGTTCTATATCAACTCTGGACCATTATTAAAACAGTTACACAGTTTCTTAGTAAATTAGGTCGTACAAAAGACTCTCAGTAAAATCTTTCACACATCTCTGTTGCTGCTGTTAATCCAAAACAAGGTGAACACAATCAGATTCCAGTGTCACAAAAGTAAGAAAAAAATCCTTTTTGAACCCAAAATGCACATTTGATTTTTTTCTTGGACCAACAATCAGCAAGGTTGACAAATTGGTTTAATTTTCATCATGTTTACAGCACAGTGTGTTTACATTAGAAGTGTTCATCCCCTGCTCTGTTAATCGAACTTTAATCACACAAAGGGCTCCTGTAGACTCCAGCAAGCTATTAACAGAGCAGGAGATAATACATTCTAAATTAAACATTAAATAAAGGTTTAAAACTTGGATCTCTCTTTACAGGTAGTGTTTAGGGAGTATGTGTGAGTCACATGCAGGGAGGTGTGACTAGGACTGAATGGCAGAGAATTGAGCGGTTACACTGTAGTGACATTAACTATACACCAAAACCACTTCATTTAGCCAAAGTTGTTTTGCTAAGAATGCTTAGAGTGTCCCTTTTACGTATTAGATCTCGGAATATAGCCTGCTTTGCAAAAAACATTATGTGCTGTCCCGCAATGGCAAACATTAGAATCTCTCTAAAACAAGGGATAAAGGGTTCAGGTTTATTATGTTCAGTTCGAAGTTAGGTGCCTGCTAGGGGAAGATCGTTACCCCCCCAACCACCGCGCGCTCCTTCCTTTGCTTGTATTTTGTTGGTGGTTTTGTATTTTTTAATTAAAGTGTCCTCCCTTTCCGCTCCCTTTGTGCGCGGATGTGCTCTGAGCCGTTAAATGGTCCAATCACAGGCTTCAGGTAAGGTAAGTTTTAACTTCATTTTTAAATGGTTGGGATCTATTAGCGTTGCCCAATAGGGCAATGTTAGCCTAAAACAGCAAACAGTGGGAAAGGGTTTGATTAATCCTCTAAGTATTTTGCAGTTGATCTATCCTGGACTAAAACCTGTGATTTGCTTGTTACATGTTTACCGGGTTCAGTGAGCTCCCTGCATACAATCAAATCCATTGCTCCTACGTTCTCTGTCTGAAATGTGTACGTGCCTCCAACTAACCTGTGTATTCACCTACTCTCATACATCCTCCAATTCAGATTCCCACTGCAGCATCAATTCACAGCGAGGCTTAAACTTACATGGTTTTTACGTGCAATGTGACACAAAGGAAATAGTGTGGCGTGGGAAAATGGTGGATTGTTCTTAATTGCCGATTCCCGCACACATTACATATTAGATATATAATATATTAGCTCTGCTCTCAATCTCACTACTCTTGGGCAGCATCAATGGCTATAGTATTCAGGAAGTGTAAGCTCCCCTGCCAACATTAAAATTCCTACACTAACATTTCACCGCGCTGCTCTCAGCTAACAGGCACAATCTCTGAAGCGATAGATAGGGATATTCATTGCATGAAGGCCTACAATCGAATTAACCCGGAAAAGGGCAAACATGGGGTGAGCAGCTCACTGTAACACGGTGGTTGTAGTACAGACAATGATACTAAAATCCTCTCAGCAGACTGTGAGCAACCTTGGACTTTTTACACAAAGCTTTCAACCAAAAGACCACAGAGCCGTGTTTTTATATTTTTAATGAGAATGTTGGAGAGAAACGGAATAACCAGATATTCTGATTGGTTCATTGATGATTTCAGCCAATCACAATTCACATAGACTTCAAAATCGTATTTTCTGAACACAGAAACAATAGACAGGAAGATGTATTAACACCAGTCTACATTCTGCAATCAGCCTTCCTACAGGAAGAACACATATCGGAAAACTGTTAAACTTGTACATGTAACAACCTGTTAATGCTAACTCCACCAAATTTACACATTTACTTCTGGCACTTTGGGGACTTGAAACCATTTAAAGAAAGTAAAATCTGAGGGTATCCAGATTTGTCCCATAGCACATTATCCCCACGTAGACTCAAATCTTTACTGAATTCACTCTAAATATTCTACAGTTGAACCTATAGCTTAGACATTAGGGAATCTGACACGTGGAATGGGCTGGGAACTCTCGAGCCTTTGCGGAGAGGGTGTCAGGATACGTCAGAGGGGAGAGGAAAGATTACATGGGATTAACACACGCACACATGCTGAGGAAGTGAATTACCTGGGGATAGCTATACAGCCAAAGTGAGGACCACACATAGCTAAAACAACCATTCATATGACAAAGAATTTGGGCAGGTCGCAATCAAGAGGAGAAACAAAGACTTTGCCAAATAGGACACCAGGACACGGACAGTCAAATAGCATCATTCAGATTAAATATAAATCAGCAAAAGTAACACAATGGACAGGGGTATTAGCAATCCATGCAGGGTTAAAGCGGCACTGTCACGGTCTGGGGAATTTGCCGAGTTTGCAAAGACTGGGTTGGGCAGGTAAAGGTGAGATTTACTTACCTGAACCTGCCCCTTGATCCAACAGGTCCTTTTTGGCGCGAACATCACTGCTGTACTTTCCAGCATTGAGGTCTGTGGTCAGAGACTGGGCTGTTCTGATAAATTTTAGGTGACTTACTAACAAATTGATATAACTAAAATGTAATATCGAAGAAGAACAATGTATCTTATTTACACAGACTGATTTCTAAACACAATTATTGTAGTTTAAAGACATTACTGGGAGTATTATTGCTGTGGAGCTCTGTTATACCCTCAGACACATTACTGGGAGTATTATTGATGTGGAGCTCTGTTATACCCTCAGACACATTACTGGGAGTGTTATTGCTGTGGAGCTCTGTTATACACTCAGACACATTAGTGGAAGTATTATTGCTGTGAAGCTCTGTTATACACTCAGACACATTACTGGGAGTATTATTGCTGTGGAGCTCTGTTATACACTCAGACACATTACTGGGAGTATTATTGCTGTGGAGCTCTGTTATACACTCAGACACATTACTGGGAGTATTATTGCTGTGGGGCTCTGTTATACACTAAGACACATTACTTTGAGTATTATTGCTGTGGAGCTCTGTTATACACTCAGACACATTACTGGGAGTATTATTGCTGTGGAGCTCGGTTATACACTCAGACACATTACTGAGAGTATTATTGCTGTGGAGCTCTGTTATACACTCAGATACATTACTGGGAGTATTATTGCTGTGGAGCTCTGTTATACACTCAGACACATTACTGGGAGTATTATTGCTGTGGAGCTCTGTTATACACTCAGACACATTACTGGGAGTATTATTGCTGTGGAGCTCGGTTATACACTCAGACACATTACTGAGAGTATTATTGCTGTGGAGCTCTGTTATACACTCAGACACATTACTGGGAGTATTATTGCTGTGGGGCTCTGTTATACACTCAGACACATTACTGGCAGTATTGTTGCTGTGGAGCTCTGTTATACACTCAGACACATTACTGGGAGTATTATTGCTGTGGAGCTCTGTTATACACTCAGACACATTACTGGGAGTATTATTGCTGTGGAGCTCTGTTATACACTCAGACACATTAATGGGAGTATTATTGCTGTGGAGCTCTGTTATACACTCAGACACATTACTGGGAGTATTATTGCTGTGGAGCTCTGTTATACACTCAGACACACCAACAATGTGGAGCTCCTAGAATAGAGAGACATTAGAATAAAAAAGAGGGACAGATGGATTTGAGCCCAAAATATGGACTATCCCTCCTAAATAGGGACACTTCGGAGGTATGTAAATAGGAACTGGTGTGGAAACAACAGGGGAACATTATTATTACGTAGTATATCTCGAGCACCAACGTATTCCGCTCCTGGGGCCTCTGCATTAAAAAAAAAACTTTGCCGTAAGAGAAGCTCAGTATTATTATCCCTCAATCCATTAATAATGGTGTTTCTTGCAGTAAAGACACAGGGAGGGCCAGGATAGCCTGAGAGAGCTTTAATGTGTCCTTGTCCCTGACAGTGTCACTGCAATCGGAGCACATCTATTGACGTGAGCCAAATGATGGACATTTTCAGAGCAGAACTGGCACTTCTCTGAAAGCTCCTCATTCCTTCACGTGCATGTCATATCTCCGAACAATAGGAGCTAGAGATACAGGACAAAGGGATGGATAGACAATGGGGTGTCGAAGAATAGGAGGTCACCCAAAGAAAGGATATTAACAAAATACAATATATTATTAATAAAGAAAAGAGTTACTTGCGCTCCATCCCAAAACCCTTTGCATATTTAAATAACTGGAGGTTTTTAGTGTCACTCCAATGGCCATTAGATTGCAAGCTCACATGGCACATCAAGGCAAACCTCTTAGGGGAGTCCTACACTAACTATTCAGCTTACTTCAGTTTCAGGCAAATAAATCTCTACTGAGACAGAGAGGGGTATTTTTCTAAACCTCTACATACCTATTAACCTGTTATAGGGGACACATGTGGTGGGCGGCAGCATTGTAACATGGCTGTGTGATACAAAAGGAAAATAGAAATACACAGGACTCCCAATACTGCTAGGCGGCAGCAATGAAGAAAGGTTTATAGTAAGACTCCCCTAAGCCTTGACATGGCAGGTGAGCTTGCAATCTAATGGATATTGGAGTGATACTAAAAAGTAAAAACCTCCAGTTATTTACATATACATAGGGATTTGGGAGAGTGCACAAGTAATTGGGACTGATGTGTACTATGGTCATTGCTGCCGCCCAGGAGTAGTGGGAGTCCAAACGGAGGACTTATTTTTGTGTAAGATATTTATATAGCACCAATTTATTTCGCAGGGCTGTACAATATTATAAAGCTGGAAATGTAACAACAACAAAGATTTTGACAGGAACGAAATGTTGATGAGGACCCTGCTTTAATAAGCTTACAATCTATAGGAGGACAATGCAAAGGGACTCTGGCATGCCAGGAGTTAGAAAGATTTAATACAATGGTTTACGAGGAGCGTCCAT